ATGCAGATAAACTGCATTTCCCATCAAATTTGGGAGCCCTCATTCCCCGTGTCTTTTTTGGTTTAGGAGCGGGTTCATATACTGAGACTTTTGACACACTCTCCCCAGAAGAAGTATCCCATAACTTAGGAAGCGCAGTGGACCGCTTTGTGGATTTTTTGGCCCTAAGTAGGGAATCTGCCTTACCCCAGGGGTCACTGAGAATGTTGGACTCCGCTGTTTCATAAACATCAGAAGGTGCAGTCTCATAATGAGAGGACCGGCAAGGAAGTGAGCTTCGTTTTGGTTTACTTCTGGGACGAGAATCATAAGGAGAAGTATGGAGGCTTCTGTTCAAGGAATGCTGCTCTAACACCCAAGACATGGTATCAGATCCCTTCCCATAAGAAAGTTGACTCCCTTCTGAACCTCTCTTAAATGGACTTGGACCCTTCCTTTTGACATGTCTAATAGAGGGCTTAGAAGTTAGAGCTTGGGAGTAGTCTACCCTCAAATTTGTATCTCGGCGATGCGTGGGGCACGGAGGAGCTGATGAGAGCTCACTCAGTGTATGCTTGTTTGCATAATTCCTGGGTTGTTGGGGCACTTGGAACTGGTCACCCCATGAATTTGCCCTTCGTGGGATTTTTCGGAAAGTGGGAGCTCTTGCGAGCTCACCACATGGATGTTTCTCCCCAGGATACATTGAACCCAGGGGAGCTTGGGAAGGCTCACCCTGTGAAATTTCCCCTTTAAAATGCTTTTGACTTAGGGGAGCTTGGGAAGGCTCACCCCACGGATTTGTCCCCCCTGGGTGTTTTTGGAAAGTGGGAATTCTTGCGAGCTCACCACTTGGATGCTTCCTCCCAGGATGCATCGAACCCAGGGGAGCTTGGAAAGGCTCACCCTGCGAAAATGTTCCCTTAAAATGCTCTTGGCCTAGGGGAGCTTGAGAAGGCTCACCCCATGAATTGGCTTCCCCTGGGTATGTTTGAGAACGGGAAGCTCTTTCGAGCTCACCACGGGGGTATTTCTCCCATATATACCTAGAAACGAGGGGAGCTTGGGAAGGCTCACCCTGCGATGATTCCCTCTTTAAACGCCCTTGGCTTAGGGGAGCTTGAGAAGGCTCACCCCATGAATTGGCTTCCCCTGGGTATGTTTGAGAACGGGGAGCTCTTTCGAGCTCACCACGGGGGTATTTCTCCCCAGTATACCTAGAAACGAGGGGAGCTTGGGAAGGCTCACCCTGTGATGATTCCCTTTTTAAACGCCCTTGACTTAGGGGAGCTTGAGAAGGCTCACCCCATGAATTGGCTTTCCCTGGGTATGTTTGAGAACGGGGAGCTCTTTCGAGCTCACCACGGGGGTATTTCTCCCCAGTATACCTAGAAACGAGGGGAGCTTGGGAAGGCTCACCCTGTGATGATTCCCTTTTTAAACGCCCTTGACTTAGGGGAGCTTGAGAAGGCTCACCCCATGAATTGGCTTTCCCTGGGTATGTTTGAGAACGGGGAGCTCTTTCGAGCTCACCACGGGGGTATTTTTCCCCAGTATACCTAGAAACGAGGGGAGCTTGGGAAGGCTCACCCTGTGATGATTCCCTCTTTAAACGCCCTTGGCTTAGGGGAGCTTGAGAAGGCTCACCCCATGGATTGGCTTCCCCTGGGTATGTTTGAGAACGGGGAGCTCTTTCGAGCTCACCACGGGGGTATTTCTCCCCAGTATACCTAGAAACGAGGGGAGCTTGGGAAGGCTCACCCACTGTAGAATTCTCCCAAACAGGTGTAGAAAAGGGATTATTCCATGAATCAATAGGGGGGGGAAACATCGAAGGACTTTGCCAAAGCGTTTGATCAGTTTTAAAGTTTTTCATAAAGTAACTAGGTGAGGCAGGTCTCGGTGGTTTGGGCGATACACCAGGCTTCGAACGCTGGGCCCTGCGCTCAGAATGCCTAGATATATCTGGCCAGGATAAAGTATCTGCCATGGCAAATTTCTTGTCCTGGTCATCAAGGGTACGATGACCTGGGACAATTTCAGGGTCGTTAAATGAATAATCTGACCTAGACGTGGGTAATGGGACTTGCTGGGCTTCCTTAAATAAATCCATAGTGTCAGACATTTTAATTACCACTGGGCATGTATTTGTGTTAAAAATGTTAGAAACAAAGAAACAAATAAAGCTAAAAGATCACACTAAAATAAAAATAAAATTTGAGGCATGTGTCAACACTTTTAAAGTATTATATACCACCACCTGGCACCATTTGTGACGACCTGGGGTAATAATTAAACAATAACAATAAATGGGAACGGATTTAATTAAAACAAAATCAAAGGTCGTCAGTGGATGGGGGAAAATACAAAAATAGCAATTGGTAGCGTGATAACAACAACAATAAATGGTAGTGTGGAACTGGGTAAAATAGAATGAAAAAGGTGAATTTAAACAAATGGCAGCGTGGAAGTTAAATGAATTGAGGTGTGTCTAAGATGAAGGTAATCTTGTGTGAACGGGGGTTAAAGTTGAATGGATATGAGGTGTACTGATAAACACAACTGTATAAAACTATATAGTAATAAATCAAGAAACAAATCAAGTAAGCTTTAACAGATCTATTTGAATAAAATAAACAAAGTTCAAAATACAATTACGTTATACTAAGCACAAATACAATATGATAAAAGTTAAAAGTCAGGCACTAGATTAATTAAAAGTGGCTTACCCATTGTTCGTCTACATGTGTCCTTGTTGAAGCCATAGTATAGAATATCCAAAAGTAAAGCGATCCAAAGTGTTGTCCAAAAGTAAAATACTGTTAAGATTTCCAAGTTAAATACTGTTAAAATTTCAAAGTATAAGTTAGAATAAAAGTTCAGATGATTCAAAATGACAGAGTCCAAAAGGTTGCAGTTGATGTTGGCTGTTCCAGGTCTTGACGAAAAGTGTAATGGCTTCAACAAAATCAGACAGATATACCACTTTTTACCAATCTAGTGTGGTACCTGGCCCTGGGACCAGACACCAAACAAAGAGATGATTCTTCTAACTAAGGATTATCTAAGAATCATCCCTTTGATCCTGGGGGATAATCTAAATCTAATGACTACTAGGGTACTACACTCCAGACTAAGACTAATCGCCTATTCAAAGTTTTGAATAGGGCCAAATTTAAAGTAATAAAAGTGCGTGCGCACCTGCACTGAGTGTGCCACTATGATAATACAGGGGTTGTAATCCCAAACTAAATTCAGGAAATGGTTAAACGAAATTACTAAATAAAACAAATACAAATTGACTTAAAAAAGTACATTCTTATCGGCAACATATTGCCATACAAAATACAAATGATACAATAATACAAAATATTGATTTAATAAGTGAAATATTGTAAAGGCCATAACGAAAATACTGGAAAAGTAAAATACTTGATTCCGCCATTTTCAATATGGCCGTATAAACAAAACACGAAGGAAAATATGAAAGTTACTGGAATTTCTCAAAATACAAGGTAAATATATACACTAGACTAACTCTAACTAATATAATATACAATCGGAAGGGATAATCTGACGCCCGGCGATCGGAAAAGATCGAGGGTTTACCACCTTTTGATCGCCGGTCGTCACATCAAATACAAAAAGTAAGAAAAGAATAGCAGGATTTACAAATGAGGTAAATAAGTTGCAACATTTTGATAATAATGATAAAGCAATTAATCACATTTAATAATAAAAAATACACGTATGTTCCACTTTACTTACACAGATTTAACAGTACTGTAGTTTGTAACAGTATTTCTGCAATATTTAACAGTGACTTTTTCATGAGGATGATACATGTAATTAGTATTGGTGCGTCTTACCACCTATTTGCCAGTGTAAAAGACCAGAATAAGGAGATTGAAAAACTAGATTCATTGTGCTTTACCAAATGGATTACCAAATGGAACAATACATAGCTTGCATGCTGAATACGATCAATATACATGTTTATATAAAAATTACTATTTGATATAATATTACTATTTTAAATTGCTGAGTTTGCCATTGCAAATTAGATTGCAAAATTGAAATCAGAAGTTATGCACCATAGTGTTTCATCACGTCTCTGATTCACCCATAATTCATTACCCTATTTGTGTAAGTTAATATGCTGGGGAACAAAGGCTTGATGCTAGACTAGTTTCTAGATTTGCTAAGAAGAACGCTTATGCCAATCTTCTATATTAAAAGTAAACATAATGTCAATTTAGTAAGTTTATATCATCATCAATATCATCATTTTATACAAAGTGACAAAATTCAACAATCTTTCCTTTTCTCTCTCTCTCCTTCTACAGTAAACAACATTAATAACCTGTAAAATAATATGTGAAAATAAAGATTTAATAAAAAAAGTTCAAGTTTATATATGTACCAAACATATGCTTATCAGATTATGGGAATGGTATAGGCCTAACAGACAGGTTTCATGATGTTTTCTGAAATAAAGCATTAACATGTCACCACATGAAAGTGTACAACTGTTACAGATTCTGACTTCTTTGACATAAAAATCCTCTAAGGTAGTAAGATGACCAATCCACACAAATTAGGGATGAATTATATTTGACATGCATATAATGTGCATGTTAATTGCAAAATCACAATACAATGCATGTTTTCAGTTATTATGCAATAAAGAAAATCCTATGCTGACTAATTGCTTGTCTTTGTTGCCGTGTTCTTGCATCATTTGTTAATCTATGAATGCTGCATTACAATATCATATAATAATTATATTGTTAGAGTGACTCCAAATGAAAAGCTTTGCAAGCGTCTTGTTTAATATCATACAAACAAATCACTTATCAGGCCCATAGGCCAGCTTCACATTTTGAAAAATTCCAGGGGGGTTCACTTTTGACAATTAAAGTGGCCAAAGAACACTTAAAAAATGCTCAGAATGATGAAAAACTGCACGATTTTGAAAGAATTTTTGGCCAGGGGGGGGGGGGGGGGGGCGGGGGGTTCTGCTTATGATGCAACATTCCATTATTGGTTATTGAACTTTCTGAAAGGTGTATGTGTATTTTTTTCATGTAACTACACTACACTGCTGTACTTCTTTCATGGAACTACTTTTTACAACTGTATATATCATTTAATTTTACAAAAAATCTCATGTATAAATTCCTTTGATGTATCTTTTTGATGCACTCTCTCATGTAACTATACTACATAGGTGTTGTAACTATACTACTCATATCTAACATGTCGATATACTACACACCAAATCATATCAAATGTAAATCCTTTTACTATTCATATGTAAGTTTCTTTGATATAGGTTTCATTCAGCTGTAATAACATTTGCAGTTAATTATTGCTGAATTTCATATTTTCCGAGAAAAAGTTATGATATCCCGTGCTCTAATTCTAATATATAGATTATAAACATACACGTAATATCATCACTTCCATTCTCAGAGACTAATATGCAACTAACCAATCAGAACATGGTCAGATGTCATTTAGGTCTTGCATCTTATTTTCTACAATCTCAGCTGAATAAAATATTTTCTTTTATGTTTTTCTCTACAATTTTAAATTTCACTCTTCAGGCCTGTTTGCTTAATTCCTTGCACATTTCACTAAAATCTGAAATGTGATTCCTTGGTCTTCATCATGTAATCACGACACCTTTGTAAACACACTGTCCATCTTGCCCTTCTCGTAACGAGGGCCACAAGAAACCTTGTATTGCGGTAGATTCTGGGTTGGATGAGTGAAAACGTGTATGTAGATCCGGATTGAACATAGAAGCATCATAGTCTATTACAAAATGTGGAATTTGGACTGATAATGCCCAGGAGAGTTTCACACATTCTTCCACATAGTCGCGTAGTTCAAAACAGGACTTGAGGCTCGGGTAGTCATATAACGTTGCGTAGACTTGTGAACATACTTCCTGGAATGATAAGTGAACATTTATAATGCAACATGCAAATGTAATAGCACAATCTGCATTGTACAAAACAACCATCAAAGTAAATATCAAACAAGGTATTAACATGCAAAATGTCACCACCTGCCACTTGTTACAGATGCCTACCATCGAACACCAACCATCAACTGCCGAACACCATCCAGAAATATGTCACCACTTCAGTACATTATAGGGCAAAAAATATGAGTCACATTTATGTTTCCTTTAATAAAGATAGTAATGGTCTGTTCACTTGACTAATACCAAGATCCTTGTAAAGATTATTTTTTAATTTTCATCAAGTTATTGGCTGATTAATGCTGTCAGTAACATGTAACATCTGTAACAACCAATACCATTAACTTATACTTTTTGCAAATGAATAAAACTTACATACATTAATAAAAAATAACACCAGATATAAAACACTTTAAAAGGATCCATACCTCTACATTATTCTTAAAATCAAATCTGTCGACTGTCTTTCTAAGATAAACACTAATAGTGTCTTCTACATCTTTGACAATAGGGTCAGGAGATGAGGGACTGTTCTCATTTGGTAGGTACAGGGTCTGTCTGACTGTCTGTCTCATTTCATCCAATGTGGCTTGAACAGATCTGAATGAGAGCTGAAACAGATGAACTGCATATACACATTGATAATCCAACACTTTCGATTCATATCACACATGCAAAATCGTAGATCTCATGACACTATGAGTTTATTTGGTGGTAGCATAGTATGATCAGCTCATTGCAGAGACTAAAATATATTTATTTATTTACTCATTTTTAAAATTCTTGTTTTTCAGTCACATCTAGATCTTCATCAAATTAATCATAAGGATCCATGCCATAATCTGTATAATGCCGTAACATTTTGATGAGATCATGATTACGGACATGTGTGCAGAAGGTTATGACTATACGAACGATGAAGATTATAAAACCTACCACGACAACAGAGAACAAGAGCTTTGCTTTCAGGTCATCATAGTCTGCAATGTCTGGCAGACTGTCAAGAGCATCTAATGCATCTACCCTGGTGCCTGAGTGTAGGTTACCATAGCGACGTATCAACTGAGTTGGTCTGTTTTCTCCAAGATTGAGATCTTCAAATTTTGTTCCTTTCTCGAGTTGTTTGATGGCTTGTTCAGACAATCTGGAATAAATTAAAACAAATATTTCATTTTGAAGAAGATATGTACAAATATTGATGGGGTAATTGTACCTTTACTCATATTTCATTGAAATGTCAAAATTACTTGGCAACCTTTTATTCCATATTAGCAATATCCACAATCAAAACCAGAACAACAGCAACGCCAAAGCGTAGCGAATCCCATCGAACAGAAATGGCTGGCATTTTTACAAACGAAATATATAGCAAATATCATAAAAACACACCAGAAAGGCCACCATTTTCAAAATGGTTGCTCACTAGCCAAGTTGTCATCAGAAGAAATAATATGCTTTTAAGTAGCCACCTATAAAATTTTTGAAAAATCGCACACATGTACTTGTAAAATAACACACATAAAAATGGTGGCCATTTTTCAAAATGGGCGACTACTCCCCAAGGTTTTATTAGACAATGTGCCATGCTTAGAGTATTCACATATCAAATATGAACAAAATCGCTCCACTACTTTTCGAGTTATAGTAAAAAATGTCAAAATGGTGGCCATTTTTCAAAATGGCCGCCTACTACCTAAAGTGTCAATGGACAGTGTGCCATGCTTTTAGTATTCACATACAAAATATAAACAAAATCGCTCCACTACTTTTCGAGTTATAGTAAAATACGTTAAAAAGGCGGCCATTTTTCAAAATGGCCACCATTTTGAAATGAGCGGCCATTTTAAAAATTGGCTTTCGAGCAGAACTTCTACCCCTATAGGGTATATGTGTACAAAATATGAACAAAATCGGGCCAACGGTATTTGAGTTATTACCCGGACGGACGGACGGACGTACATACGGACGGACGGACATACGTACGGACGGATGGACGGAGGCGTTCCCTATATCCCTCCGAACTTCGTTTGATGGGATAATAATTATATTTCTATCAAGTAAATATTTCTTATATTTCACGATAACATGCATTCCACATTCAATTTCATTGCATTCAATACAGGGTCAATATGTTATGAGAGTAATATTCAGAATACATATTCTGATTTAATTTAGCCTAGATGAAACAGTTAAAACATGTAACTAAAAATGTAGCCATATAAACATTTAAGCTCTTGCAATAGCCTCTTTTGTAGAGTCACTTAATTTTTTCATACTCAGGGTATAACACATGTACTTGTTACTTATAAGTACTTGTTACTTTCAAGTGCTCAAAAACTAAAATATCTGAGATGAGGCAATGTGGTGAGATGAGGCAATGTGGTGAGGTGAGGCAATGTGGTGAGGTGAGGCAATGTGGTGAGGTGAGGCAATGTGGTGAGGTGATGTGGAATTCAAATGAGTGACAGCATCAATTGTTATTGGATTTGTTGAATCCCAAAAGTCCGAACTGATTGACTGATTGACTGACTGGCTGACACTGTTATCTGTACTGGAATTCCTAAAACTGTATCATATGGGATCAAAATATCAATATTTGTCAAAAGATATGATCAATTTTCTTCCATCCTTCATCCTTTAACACATTTTAACCAAATGTTTCCAAATATTCAATCCCTGGGAATAGAAAATCATCATTTCTATCCCAAATGATCATTTACCTCATCCCCAAAATGTTATAAATATATAATGTTTTTGGCACATTCCCTTACCTATCAGCTAAACTTTTCTCCTTAGCTTGTAGTCTATTGATGGTCTCCCTGGCCTTGTTTAGTTCTGCTTTGAGGGTCTTCACCTCACTCCTCAGCTCTGCCATTTCCTTACTCTCTGTCCCCGGGGGTATGGGTGCAGAGAGGGGGACACTTCCATTAGATGCCCCGTTCACAGGAATGCCTTTCAGACTAGGTGGTTTTATAACTCGGTCACTTTCAGGTCTCTGGGCCTTTGGGGAACCTGGAAAAATGTGAGGTGAACATTTATTTAATTTTCCTGTATATGATGTGAAAGTGTTTATACGTATATATAACAAAGAAGTCATAATTATGAAAATATTTACTATTCATACCAACAACTAAAAATATCCTCTATGTCTTTGCTTATATTTCAAATATTCACACATCATTTCAGGGAAATTATTGGTTTTAACGTTTATGTATTCATTTTTCTTTTTCAGACATTGCTGCATTTGAACATCTTTATACTTTCCTAAATGACAGATACTATGAAGCTTATTGGTATATTATATGAGATATGGTAAAGCACACATTGACTCAAAATATTATTTCCACTATGACAGATTTAATCTTGAATATGAAACATAATGCATCATTATCATTTCCTCCCATCATATTCAGCAATAAATTAAATGTTTTAATTTGTTTTTTTACTTTTTCATAAGCATCTCATTTGTTTCCAACTATTTCCTGAACATCACATCCTGAGTAATATATCCCGAGTATCATATCATGAGTAGTATCTCATACTTGAGTGGGTTTGGGGTATATATCACCCGGGAATATATATCGTATCTGAGGAGCGGGCAGGATATATTGTATATGTCCCGCTCCAGGCCAAATGCGGGCAGATATAATATATCCATCCCGCTCCCGGGAATTTTTCAAAAGTTTAAAAAAGTTTAAATATCAAAAGTTTTAATTTTTTAATTTTAAAATTTAAATTTGTTAAGTTTAAATGTTACAATTTCATTGTATTGAACAAAAAGAATAGTACGAAAATGTTAAATATAAATATCTTGTCATTTGAAAAAGGTGGAAAAGGTTATATCTACCCTAAACCCACTCAAGTATGAGATACACCAGTTATGCACGGTCGGTTTGGATACATGGAATATCCCTTGGGATATACAATACATCTTCCCTCGGTCCCTTCGGTCCCTCGGGAAGATATATTGTATATCCCTCGGGATATTCCCTGTATCCAAAACCTCCCAGTGCATAACCCCTATATATATTATGAGTTCTAAATCTTGAACACCATCTGAATACTATTTCCTGAACATCATATCCTGAGTACAATTTCCCGAGCACCTTTTCCCGAGTAATATATCCTGAGCACCATATCCTGAGTGCTATATCCCGAGTAACATATCCTGAGTATCATATCATGAGTACTATATCCTGAGTTCTAAATCTTGAACACCATTTGAATACTTTTTTCTGAAGATCATATCCTGAGTACAATTTCCTGAGCATCTTATCCCGAGTAATATATCCTGAGCATCATATCCCGAGTAATATATCCTGAATATCATATGAGTGCTGTATTCTGAGTTCTAAATCTTCAACATCATAAGCTGAGTACTATTTCCTGAGCACCACATCCCGAGTAATATATCCTGAGTATCATATCATGAGTATAATATACCAAGTTCGAAATCTTGAACATCATATCCTGAGAACTATTTCCTGAGTACCATATCCTAGGTACAATATACTGAGTAGCTTATCCTGAGTACTATATCCTGAGTATTATATCCTGAGTATCATATCCTGAGTACTATGGTCTGAGTACTGTATCCCAAGTATTATATCCTACCCTTTGCATTCGTTCGACTTCGCTTTGTCTTTACTCTTTCAGTTTACAATAAATCTCTGAACTCACCAAGCCATTCAGAGTTCATTGTCGAAATATAGATGACTTTCTGTATATAGTAATTTCCTCTGACATCATCGCATAGTTAATGAGAATGCATTTAGCATTTGTTCCTTCGAGCTTGCTGATTGGTTGACAAAAGATTAGCCGTTAGGTTTGAAATGATTTATGACACAGGCTGTCACAGGCATAAGCCATTGGGGTGGGGCTACTAAACTGTGGGGCTACTAAAATGTCTATACTAGGCAGAGGGTAGTTTATAACTAGATTCTGCGTTCAGGGTCATTATATCCTGAAATTGACTCAACTATTTTATTTCTCTATAACTAAAAGTACCCTCTGACATAAACTTAATATATTCTCTTGACAGCTCATTTTTCTTCAACAGACATAGATAAGCTGGAACTGGGTAACGAGAACACATTTCCTGGTGTTTCACCATAGTAACATGGATTTCAAATATGGTTCTTTTTATCATGGGCTTTCACTTATCTAGTTGAAAGCCCATGTTTTTATTCATCCTATGATGCTTTTTCTAGAGTAACAAAAATTCAGAATTCTTACTTATTTTTTCAACTCATATCAGAGTATACGGATGTCTCAGAGTATACTGATGTCTTATCTTTCTCACAAGTATATTCATAGAATGTATTAACTGATTTTATGACATTAAAAACAAACTACTCGAGAACACCTTATACACTGTACTGGAAAATAAAGATTGAATTAATTCTATTTACCTATCAATAAAATGTAACAAGGCATAATCATGCAAAATGTCACCACCTGCCATTTGTTATGGATGTCAAACACCAACCGCCATTTATAACAATATGTCACCACTTCTGATGGTGACATAAAAAAGGCAAAATACATTCAGTACTTGTGTGAAATACAAAATGTTCTGACTATTCCAATTATTCACATGAATATTAATAATCTGTCCATAATCATAGTAACCATTTTCCTGCTGAATATTGCCTCAGATAATTCCTTAATTATGAGTAACATACAAGATATATTATATGTAATCACATCTCAAACTATTGCTATTAATGGAAACAACAATACTCTAAATTATAACAAAACTATAAAACATAAAAATGTATTAGTTCGTGAAATGCTTAAAGCATAAATACAAATGTGTACAGTATACTATTTTTTTATGTATACAACAAAAAAAAGATGATTTCACTTCTTACCAAAACATTGCCATAGTGCCTCTCCCATGCTGTAGTGTATACAGGTATGTCAGAATCACAGGTAGGAAGTGACTACCTGGGAACTGTCAAGCACTGCAGGTAACACATTCTCACCTGAAGGCAAACTCGCATTGCTTTTTGCTGCTTGTAAAATAGATTCTGACAGATGGAAAATTGAACTAAATATAGCCAAAATGATACCTGGGAATTGATGAAATCTGGTTCTACTTATAACAAAATAATATCAAAATGTTTATCGTATTCTAATTAAAATGATGCTGAAGCAACTTAAAAATACACTTTTAGAAAGATTCCTAAATGAAAATGAATCCCAATTTTATAGATATGACATTGTCGTAGCCAGGGGGGGGGGGTGTGATGGGTGCGAACGCATCCCCCCATAACTAATAAAAATAAAATCATTGTATTAGAAAGAGGTTACATCAATTTTTGTAAAATTTAAAATAAATCCTAAAAAAGGAATTTCTTGGCATGCTCATGCTACCATCTGAACCCTGACTGAAATCTGAAAATTTTCTTGGCAATCGCACCCCCCTGACTGAAAGCTGGCTACGCCCATGTATGATTCTAGATTTACCATCCTCTATACGTTCAGTCATGAGAATAAAATGTCAAAACTAAAAATTGTACAATATCAATGTTCATGAAGATATGGGCATTCATGAAACCCATGATAAAGATTATGACTTCGCTAACATTCTAAGTTTTAGATTCCATGGTAACCATGTAGTTTTTACCTGTAGGTCAGGTAGGAAGCAATATTTAGGAATTTGATGTGGAGGTAGTCTATTATTCAGAAACAAAAATAAACTGTACCTGTATATTTCAAGAGAGATAATGTAGGCTATACCAAGGAACATTAGTTACATCCAGATCAATTAGAATCTAGTAGCTAGATACTGTACTGATTCTAAAACAGTTTAGAAGTTAATGGTTTAATGCATGCATCATGAATTGTAAAAAAATTCTAAAAACAAGATGGTCTACATGTATAAGAATCTGACAGTAATTGATATATATTTTATCAATACTTCTGAGCTTTATTCATCCTCTTAAAAGTTTGCATTTAGTCGAAAAGTTGAAAAATTAGTAACACATACTTTGACATTTTATGTCATGATTTTTTTGAAAAATATTTAAAACAACATGCGAAACCAGTGTCATAAAATAATTCAATAATGAATCCTCATGATGTGCAGAAAATATATTGTGTCTACTTTAGCATGTACTCACCTTGCGCCTCATGAAATATAGACTTTCTCAGGCACTATATTTTTTGTATTCTACTTGAATCATTGAATAACTTACAACATTGTCTGGATTTTTTTTATGTTTTTACAACTGGGGCTTATATACACAATATACTATTTGGCAACATCCGCATGAACAATTACATTTAAGATGAAATCTTCTACAGTAGAGACTTCTATTAAAAATATGCAATTGACAAAATAATGAATTTGCAATTTCTCAAGTTTAATCGCAAGTTTTATTAAAATGACAAGATATGCTAGTGTTTTTCTTATGTTAACAGTCATGTATGTTACATTTGATCCAGTGTATGTCTAATATAGCATTGGTCTTAACATCGACACGCTTCTCACCCAATGGTGCCACACATGTTCCTCTTCCAATTGGTGGTGAGTTATTACACACTCTAACTCTGGACTTCCATCCTCCTCCACATTTCACTGAACATTCTGTGAATCCACTGAATGCTCCCCATCCTCCATTTGTTGTTATTTTGTCCTGTATCCAATTTGTATAATGTGATATCTTTGTGTATACACCTGAATGTTTTCCACATGTTGAAGGACCCCAACTCACAATTCCGTACTGAACCCATTTTCCTGGTACCCATTTGCCATTTTCTATTTTAGTAGGTAGTTTACACATATATGGTGCACCTGAATCCCCATGACACGAATCTCTGTAATTGAATTAATAAGTGCATTCTCCTCATTTTTGTCAGGTCAAAAATTGCATATAATTTATTTAAAACCACACATGGAAAATGGTTAAGATCCTTCGAAAAAATTAATTGTTGATATGTATGGTATGCAGTTGTATTGAAAGAAAATGTACCTTCCTAACTTGTGTGCACAAAACATTGTGTCAGCATTAACCAATCCAAGTTCATGTGTAGGAAGATCACACTTTTGCTTCTTTATTAGAATCTCCAACAAAACATCTGGAAATGTACCCTTTTCGGTGCGTCCCCACCCAGTTGCGTGACAGAGCAAGTCATCAATATTTTCCTGATTTGCCTTAGGCAGAATTACAGGAGCGATATATTCATTTATGGAAATGGTTTATCTAATACCAGAATTGCTATGTCGTTGTTATAATGAGCATCAAAAAAATTCTCATGGACAATTATGTTTTTGCTTTTAACTGTTCGCTTCTGTCCAGTCTTTCTTTCATTTTTCTTGAAAGAAAAAATTGTGTCTTCCAGCTAGGATCTCAATGCTCTCTAATTTCACATGTTTATCGGGAGAAAGCAGGACACAATGTGCAGCAGTCAACACATGCCTGGGACTTATAATTGACCCACCACACCTTTGTGGCCCAATAGAAACCATCCATCTCCAATCAAATGGTTGTACCTTTCTCCCATAGATCACTTTTCTCTTGAGCCTTGATTTTTGTTTTGTCCCACGTACTCCAGCATATTGGCATTTTTTGCTGATGCATGGTTGTATGTCGTAGGAGTGGTCAATGCATGTTTTCCCACTCAAACATTGTTGTATTCTTGCCTTTATATCGCAAAGCGTAGTGTTCAGGCACGGACTAAATGGACCATAAGAACCTAATTATGAAAAGTAAATATAAATATAATTTTAAAATACACTTCAATAGAGTATTTATATAATGCATTTAACTGGAAAACAATTGTAAAATGAAGAGAAAGAAGTAAATGTCAAGATACCCATCAGAGCCTTATCTTGCTCACAAGGGCCTTTGCACTTAATGACATTACTAGAAACACATTCACATTCATCGCAACCTCTCTGATATTTGTATCCAATGTTTTGTTGTTTGTTATTCTCTTCTGGGATGATACACATTCTGCATTCTATAATTTAATAAATTAGATGTTCTCAACATTAATAGAATTATTTTTAAAGCATATAAAGTATATCCTAAACACATTCAATGTAGTAAATACTTACCTGTTTTATCTGTACATATATGCCTCCCATTTATATCACATTCACAGGTGTTACAATTGTCATAAGGACTCTTCCAAATCTCTCCAAGTTTATATCCTTCTCCATCTTTGATGAAACATTTTACTATAGGGCAGCACATTGAGTAAGCACCACCTTTTCCTATGATACATTGAAATCCTTGAGAACATTCCCTAGCTCCTATTCCATCACATGCCCATGGCTCATATGTGTTATTTTTCATTTCCGGATTACACCTCAAAACATTTGGATACTGACAGCATTTCTTTGCGACACACTTGTAAGTATTTGGACAGCGGAATTTTTTACATTTCGACGAATGCTTCACTGGTAGTATGCTCCATCCATTTTTGCATTTTATCTCTGATTTCTTAACATCCACGAAAGTAAGCATCAAAAATTGAAGACAAATAATAAAAAGAAACCTCATCTTTATCACAAAAGGCTGCTTTGTATAATATTGTTTGAGGATGTTGTATACATGTATATAGAAGTGAATAGATTTCTTTAATGTCAATGCTATGATCGATTGATTGATCAATTGATGACACATTATCACAGTTGATTAAACAACTCATCAATGTTAACAGGCCTAGACATTTATGTTCCTTCTTCTTGACTCAACCTTATCAGGATCCCCACACATCTCTTATATCTGCGACAAAGTCCAAACTGCACTAAATCCTTTAAAATCCCTTAAATTCAAATTAAACTCAAAAATACTCGAAACAATGTATAAATCATATATAAAACCCCTTTTTGAATATTGTGATATATTATATCACAATAGTAATCTAAAAGATCTCAAAAATCTTGACCGGCTGCAATACCAGGCTGCCCTCATATGCTCTGGAGCACTACATGGCTCCAGCACATCTAAGACATTAAATATTTTAAATTGGCCTGATCTAACTTTCATAAGAGATTACCACTTTAAGAAAATTATGTACAATATCCAAAATGATAGGGCACCCTCCTATGTAACTGATATATTTCGACCATTCAAAAACCACAACCCAAGACAACTCCGATATATTCGTGATTACCAAATTCCTCTTAATATATCTACAAAATTCAGAAGATCACCATGTATACAGTTGATGGAAAAATGGGACTCAGTCCCCAGCAATATCAAAAATAGCCCATCTTCTTATTCATTCAAAAATGAGATCAAATATAAAAACAAAATTATATCAACTTCCAATTTGACCCTGTCACGATCTCAAGAAATCATTCTTAACAGAATGAGAGTGGACTTATTTTTAAAATCACAAATGTACGCTCATAACTTCACAAATGTAGACTCACCAAACTGTCAATGTGGCGAAGTCGAAACTGTCAAGCACATATTTTTCAATTGTGGTCTCAACCTGAACTCTCATAATCTAAATGATCAATCCCTGTTTAACATTTCAAAAGTAGACTACAATTTTTCAGTCCAATTGAATAGAATTCTGTTCACTTCATATTCAGCCTGTTGTTATTTCCTTTTATGATTTCTATTTTTAGAGGGATAGGTGAGGGTATTAGTGTTATAACATTCTAGCTACCAGCTGATATTCACTGTCAAACTACATTTTGTATATAATGAATTGTGTTAAAGAACCATCAAATTTTCCTGCATATCTTTTCAAAAACTACTTTACATACATATATAATCACAATGTTGGAAATCGTATTACTAGACAGTTCCACAATATACACCCCTGTAAAATAAAAACTGAATTGACAAAAAGGTCAGTGGCATATTCTGGTGCCATTTTATGGAATGCTTTGCCAATAGTACTTCGAACATGTAAAACTTTGAATTCTTTTAAACATAACATTAAAAAGGACCTTTTGGAAAAGATGAATGAAAACATTACATAAAATCACATTTTGTTTATTTAATTATTTCTCTCAAGACTTCAAAGTTTCTGTATTGTATCTATTAATTGTATCTGTATTGTTATATGTTATATTATATGTAATTTTGGTTGCTCTGCAACACATTTTGAAATAAGCACTGATACGCCCAATTACTAAGGGTGTCGAGTGCACACGTTTTGTACTTTACATTGTTATATTATGAAATAAACTATATAACTATATAACTAATGTCAACATCCTCCACTTATTAGGTAACCTTCAAATGGACAAAAATGGTCTAATCAAAACATTTTTATTTGGTCATCCTGATCTTTCAACTGAACAGAACATTATGATTTTCAAACTAGTTACAAATTTTTTATCAGACAATTCCACTTAATGCTCAAGATGGCCTCCTTATGCTCCAACAGATCATCTTATCACCTTGCCCCAGCACCATTGCCCAGCAAAGACCAGCAAACCCCTTTGTCAGAAAAATACATCTTTTTCACATACTCAATGTTCTTTTTATATTTAAAGTGAACCTATAATGCTATCCTTCAATAGCGATTGGTCACTTATATCAGAAACTATTTGTACTTGTATATAATGAAATAAAACAGATTATAATAAAAAAAAAAAAAAAAAAATTTATGTTCCTTTCACATCATGATAACTTCTATGTTTTAATAAACTGTACGTGTTAACCTAGTAAAGATGTTTGTTATTGTTAAGTGACAGAATTAATATGTTAATATATTATTGTAGGGGAAATGCTCAATGTCATCACCATGGTACTATAGTACATTCCAAGTTCCAATTAAGAAATATAGTACTTTCGTTGTCTCATAAAGATGATAAAAATGTACTTTGTGAAATCACTGAGATATAAGGATTCATCAGAAAGTAATATGGATTCTGTACCTAAGTTATATACATGTATTGTGTGTAAATCATATTTCTAAAATTGCTCAATTGAATGGATTGAATTTAATCTGTAACAAATGTTACATGTTACAAATGTTAATATAATGACGGAAGAAAAACTTTAATAAAAATGCATTCATACATAATTTCTGTCATATCGCAAAATCAGCGGTATATACATCTGTGTTTTTTCAATTAATAATAACAATTAACTAAATAATTATTATTTTGAAAGAGCACTAGTATATTCAACTATATAATGAATTGGGCATAATTCATCACCTCCAATTGAGTTTTCATTTCTTCAGGTATTTACTATTTTGAAAGTCTTAATAATATATACATAAGCTTTAAAATAATTCCATCAATGTTGGGAACATCTTATACATTGTTTATAGAATGCACAATGTGTATCATCCCAGAAGAGAATAACATACAACAAAACATTGGATACACATAAAAATATAGAATAGGGCGTTTCTGCGTTTCTGAGAAAGTCCATTACCAATTGTATGAAAGGACGATATGACATCCAGATAAGCTGAAAAAATTAGGAATCCTGGTGTCCAAAAAGTTAGTATCTTACAATTACAATACAATGTCTGTAAAGTATAAAGAGACTTTATGGAAACCCTGTACATTGTATTTCATAATAGGAACTCTGAATGTACCATGTTGTCATGACATTGAGAATTTTCCCCATAATAATATATTAACATTATAATTCTGTCTGACTTAACAATAACAAACAAAGGTTAACAATTACAGTATATTAAAACATAGAAGTTGCCATGATATGAAAGAAACAAAAAATATAATATGTTCAGGCCATTTAACATCATTGATAAGTTGTTTAATCAACAGTGATAATATGTCTGGATCTGTTTATGCAATGATAATATTGGCATTACGAAAATCTATTTACTTCTATATGACATTCTCAAACAATTATTTACCAAGTAGCCTTTTGTGATAAAGATGAGGTATCTTTTCATTATTTGTCTTCAATTTTTGATGTTTATTTCCGTGGATGTTATGAAATCAGATATAAAATGCAAAAATGGATGGAGCATACTACCAGTAAAGCATTCGTCAAAATGTAAAAAATTCCGCTGTCCAAATACTTACAAGTGTGTCGCAAAGAAATGCTGTCAGTATCCAAATGTTCTGAGGTGTAATCCAGAAATGAAAAATAACACATATGAACCATGGGCTTGTGGTGGTACAGGAGCTAAGGAATGTTCTCAGGGTTTTCAATGTATCATAGGTAAAGGTGGTGCTTACTCAATGTGCTGCCCTATAGTAAAATGTTTCACCAAAGATGGAGAAGGATACAAACTTGGAGAGATTTGGAAGAGTCCTTATGACAATTGTAACACTTGTGAATGTGATATAAATGGGAAGCATATATGTACAGACAAAGCAGGTAAGCATTTACTGTTTTTAATGTGTTTATAATATACTTGATATGATTTTTTACAGACAAAACAGGTATTTACTACATTGAATTCTATTTGGGAAAATCTTATTTATTGATTATAGAATGCAGAATGTGTATCATCCCAGAAGAAAATAACAGACAACAAAACATTGGATACAAATATCAGAGAGGATGTGATGAATGTGAATGTGTTTCTAGTAATGTCATTTTAAAGTGCAAAGGCCCTTGTAAACAAGATAAGGCTATGAAGGGTATCTTGACATTTACTTTAACTCTTCATTTCACTCTTCAATTGTTTCCAGTAAAAGTGCATTATATTCTATTGAATTGTTTTTTTTAAATGATGCATACTTTTTATAATTAGGTTCTTATGGTCCATTTAGTCCATGCCCGAACACTACACTTTGTGATATAAAGGCAAGAATACACCAATGTTTGATTGGGAAAACTTGCATTGACCACTCCTACGACACACAACCATGCATCAGCAAAAAATGCCAATATGCTGGAGTACGTGGGACAGAAAAAAAATCAAGGTTCAAGAGAACAAAGATGATCTTCGGGAAAGAGGTAAAACCACCATTTGACTGGAGATGGATGGTTTATATTGGGCCACAAAGGTGTGGTGGGTCAATTATAAGTCCTAGGCATGTGTTGACTGCTGCACATTGTGTCCAGCTTTCTCCCTATAAACATGTGAAATTAGAGACAGTTGAAATCCTAGCTGGAAGACACAATTTAAAGAAAAATGAAAGAAAGACTAAACAGAAGCGAACAGTTAAAAGCAAAAACATAATTGTCCATGAGAAATTTTTTGATACTCATTATAACAACGACATAGCAATTTTGGTATTATATAAACCATTTTCCATTAATGAATATATCGCTCCTGTAATTCTGCCTAAGGCAAATCAGGAAAATATTGATGACTTGCTCTGTCACGCAACTGGGTGGGGACGCACCGAAAAGGGTACATTTTCAGATGTTTTGTTGGAGATTCTAATAAAGAAGCAAAAGTGTGATCTTCCTACACATGAACTTGGATTGGTTAATGCTGACACAATGTTTTGTGCCCACAAGCTAGGGAGGTACATTAACTCATTTACTTCACAACTGCAATATCATATCATACATACATATCAACTTAATTTTTCTGAAGGATCTTTCCATATGCATATGTGAGGTTTTGACCCTCAAAGAAGTACTTTTAAGTAGCAATACTTTATTGACAAAAATAGAAAGAATGCACCAATAAATTTAATTACAGAGATTCGTGTCATGGGGATTCAGGTGCACCATACATGTGTAAACAACCTACTAAAATAGAAAATGGCAAACGGGTACCAGGAAAATGGGTTCAGTATGGAATTGTGAGTTGGGGCCCCTCAATATGTGGAAATTATTCAGGTGTATACACAAAGGTGGCACATTATACAGATTGGATACAGGACAAAATAACAACAAATGGAGGATGGGGAGCATTCAGTGGATTCACAGAATGTTCAGTGAAATGTGGAGGAGGCTGGAAGTCCAGAGTTAGAGTGTGTAATAACCCACCACCAATTGGAAGAGGAACATGTGAGGCACCATTGGGTGAGAAGCGTGTCGATATTAAGACTAATGCTATATTAGACATACACTGGATCAAATGTAACATACATGACTGTTGACAGAATTTTTGAAAATGTTAGAAAATTTTGTCATTTTAATAAAACTTGCAAATACACATAAATTTGAAAATTGCAAATTCATTATTTTGTCAATTGCCTATTTCAAACAAAAGTCTCTGCTGTTGAAGAACAATGTGTTTTGTATATGAACATTACTGAACTCCAGTTGTAAAAATATGAAAGCAATCCAGACATTATTGCAAGTTATTCAATGATTCAAGTTGAATACAAACAAGACACAGAGTAAACAGTATTGCACCCTTGAATAGAAAATCCATCAACTAGTATTCAAGTTATTCTCTGGAGAGACAGACGAACTGACTGACTGACGGATGGACTGACAGATTGACTGACAGATGGATAGAAGGCTTCACTTTATTCCTTGATGGTGCAATTCCCTGCAACCTGATTGGTCCATGTGACTTAAATATATTCTGCATTTACACACACTCACAACTTAGTGTTGGATACAGAGTGAAAATGACATCACCGTTGAGACACTAGCGCCTCATGAAATACAGACTTTCTCGGGCAAAATATTTTCTGTATTTCACTCAAATTATTGAGTAACTTATAATCTCCCTACTGAACTTCGCTTGTTGGGATAATGATGACAAAAATGTCAGAGTAAATAACACTACATCAGAGAGTAGTACAGATTTTGTATCTACCTTTTATACATACTGCAGCATACTGCAGCACCCACCCTGCTTCACAAAAGTTCAACAACAAATATCAAGGAATGACCAAGTTTTAATAAAAAAAATCAGAAAAAGATGGAATTTCTAAAAAATTCAAAATGCAATAAAAATGGCAGATGTTTTAATTCGATGCATCCTCCATTCAGGGGATGGGCTCTTCTGAGGATTTCTTCAATATTGTCTATCTTACTGACTGACAGATAGATTAGGTTTGTGGCAAAAAATGCCATATATAAAATTCCCAGGATTTTTAACTTCTTTCATATGGACTGACATTAGCATTGTCTAAAGGAGGTATTTTGAATTTTCTAACCATCCGAGTGCTAATAACAGAGAATATAGTACATGTATATTGCAAGCGTGATAAATATTATGACGGTAGAAAAACTTTAATAAAAAATAATTTCTGTAAGATCGCAAAATCAGCAATGATGGTCTATATACATCTGTGTTTCCTCAATCAATCAAGTTGATAAGTATTAGGAGGCCCACATTAGGGGAGGAGCTCCTATAGATTTCATAGATATTATTATTAATAGGCCGTTTAGACAAACTTTGCATAGATTTTGAGATATCGAAGGTCAAAAAAGGTCAAAAAAGGTCAGAAAAGGCATTTAAGTTCTCATGAGTTCATATCTGACCTTAGATTTGAGATCTAACCTTTAGTTGACCTTCAATGACCTTTGAAAGGTCAAAAAGTTTATTTTCAAATTGATTTTTTGATTCAAATTTAGGTCAGCTAACTTGCAAATGACCTACTGAGGTCTGGAAAATAAAAGATCAAGGCCATCAAAAGGCTCTTTTGCAATTTCTGATAGGAAAATAGCCAACTAGACAACAGCAACGCCAAAGCGTAGCAAATCCCATTGAACAGTCATGGCTGACATTTTTACAAACAAAGTATGTGAGCAAAAAATGGCCACCTTCTACCAAAAGTATCATTAGACAGTGTGCCATGCTTATAGTATTCACATACCAAATATGAACAAAATTGCTCCACTACTTTTTTTATTTTTTTTATTTCTTTATTTCAAATTGACCAAAATTGTTTTTAAAAATCATCTACAAGGTCTCAGAAGTTCAAATATGACCTTAGATTTGAGGTTTGACCTTTAGTTGACCTTCCATGACCTGTAAAAGGTAAAAAAAGTTGATTTTTCAAATTGCTTATTTTGATTTAAGTCAGCTTAGTCATTAACATCCCAAAAGGTCATCTTGAAGGTCAAACTCATCAAACTAGATTCTAAAAGCCTTCTGGGGCCTCCTTAAGATAGCTTGCAATCTTGAAATCTAGTTTTAATAATAGTACTAGTCTATATCACTACCTCATGAAATAGACATAATTTATCACCTCCATTTGAGTTTTGGCCTGTCTAAATTCTTCAGAATCATAAGATCATCATATCACCATAAGATGACGAATCTCACATTTTTTATCCTTGTGCTCATCAACCTTGCTGATACACAATTGATGGACAAAAAAGCATGGAACAAAAAATCATTGGGACATCTTTCAACACAGATTTGCAAAAATGGATGGAACAAATTACTAAGAGAACATTCCTCTAAATGTAAGAAGTTCAGATGTCCAAATACTTACAAGTGTATTTCAGATGAATGTTGTCAGTATCCAAATGTTTTGAGGTGTAATCCAGAAATGAAAAATAACACATATGAGCCATGGGCATGTGATGGAATAGGAGCTAGGGGATGTTCTCAAGGATTTCAATGTATCATAGGAAAAGGTGGTGATTACTCAATGTGCTGCCCTATAGTAAAATGTTTCACCAAAGATGGAGAAGGATACAAACTTGGAGAGATTTGGAAGAGTCCTTATGACAATTGTAACACTTGTGAATGTGATATAAATGGGAAGCATATATGTACAGACAAAGCAGGTTAGTATTTACTGTTTTTAATGTGTTTATAATATATACCTGGACTTTATACGATTCTAAAAATAATTCTTTTAGCATTATGAACATCTTATTTATTGATTATAGAATGCAGAATGTGTATCATCCCAGAAGAGAATAACAGACAACAAAACATTGGATACAAATATCAGAGAAGATGCGATGAATGTGAATGTGTTTCTAGTAATGTTATTAACTGTAAAGGGCCTTGTGAACAACATAACGCTAAAATAGGTATACTGATATTTAGATTCATAAAATAAATACATGCATATAACATAATATTTCCATTTTTCTGTACATGTTTTTGCATATTTGAAAATTAAGATTTCTGTTCCTTTTACCAATAGGTCCTTATAGTTCTTTTACTCCATGTCCAACAACTGGTCTTTGTGGTGTACAGACCAGGGTACGCCAATGTTTAAGTGGGAGTAACTGTACTGAACACTCTTATGATACAAAACCTTGCAGTAGTCAAAAATGTCGATTTGCTGGAACTCGTGGCACAGAAACAGCATTGAGAGACAAAAAGCGAAGTATCAAAGGAATAGACCCATCGAAAAGGAAAAATCCCTATATTTGGAGCTGGATGGTTTATATTGTAATTCGTGGATACAATTGTGGTGGCTCAATTATAAGTCCAAGACATGTATTGACTGTTGCACACTGTCTTCAGGCTTTTCCTGGTCAAAGTTCAAAATTAAAGAGTGTCAGAATTGTAGCTGGAAGACAGAATTTAATGAAAAAATCAGACAATGAGCAGAAACGAGAAGTTAAGAGATCTAATATATTCATCCACAAAGACTACCAAGATAGTTATTATCAGAACAATGACATAGCAATATTGGTATTAGATGAACCATTGTTTATAACCAAATATGTTGCCCCTGTTCTTCTTCCTAGTTCTAATAAAGAAAATATTGATGACTTGCTGTGCCGGGTAACTGGCTGGGGACTCACCGAAAATGGTATATATTCAGATGCTTTGTTGGAGATACAAATAAAGAAGCAAAAGTGTGATCTTCCTACATATGCACTTGGATTGGTTAATGCTGATACAATGTTTTGTGCACATAAGCTAGGCAGGTATGGGTTCTTGCCTCTTGTGCACTTAAATATCATGAACTAGAAAATGATGAATTCCTGCTTGTCAAGACTGTTAACATAAGTCACCGACGGATTTTTTTTATTTTGCATTGAGCTTAATGCTAATGCTATATGCCAATTCCATCAATATTCACGTACATGTATATCCATATTTAAGGACAACTGAAATAGGTTTTCTCAACTTGCAGCTGCAACAATGTGGTTTCCTGCATTTTGAGCCCAAAGTAGAGTTCTTGTGATAACCATTAAAAAAGAAATGTGAAATAACTGTTAATGGTCATAATAATAACATAATAAAATTAATGGATCAATCAGATTGGCCCCCACCTGATCAGTAACATCATTCATAATAATTATAGTTTCTGTTTATTGGTTCCTATCACAATGTCACGACAACTGCAAGATTGTTGTGTAAACAAATAACAAAACATCTTAGAATTATGACATCATGATTCAATCGACCAAAACGTGGGGAACGACCAGTGAAAAATCACTTGGGGGCCAAATATGTCACAATACATTTAAATATTGCTTATTAAGCAGCTACCACATGTAGTAGAGTAAATCAGTTGCCACATTACCGATAAGATGACATGTCCAAATTGATCCATTATTAAAGCAGATATGAAATGGTATTTTTAACCTAAAGGAATCAATATAATTTTTTGATAAATGTATTTGGACATGTTTTCTCATCAGTAGTATGAAAATTATTTCACTTTAATGATCGTTATAGCTGCTTAATAAGCAATATTCGAATTGGTTGTGACGTTATTGGCCCCCACGTGATCTCTCACTGGTCCCCACGTAGCCCGTTTTGGTCCATTAGATCATGGCGTCATAATGCCAAAATGTTTTGTTATTTGTTTACACAACAATCCTATGGTTGCCGTGACGTTGTGATTACTAAGACACCAATAAACCAAAGCTATATTTTGTATGACGTTACTAATCACGTGGGGGCCAATTTGATTGATCAGTTAGTTTTTATTTCGTTATCTATGACCGTTAGCAGTTATCTAACATTTATTTTATAATGGCCATCGCAAGAACTCTACGTTGGGCTTACAATGGAGAAAACCGCATTTTTGTAGCTGCAAGTTGAGAAAAGCTATTTCAGTTGTCCTTTAAATAAAATTGATTCCTTTAGCTTTAAGTTACTACGTATTTCAGTTGTCCTTTAAAGTCTCCATATAATGTTTAAACCACTTTGGCTTATTAATATTGTAGTCTTACCCAATGTTATCAAAGTCTGATATGTGAAACTTTTTATTTTAATTTCAAAAAGTGGTTTTTGGAGGATTTTTTGTTTGAAAAATCATGAATTTCTTTAAAACTAACTTTTAGAGGTTACATGTATCTATAGCTTTGTGATTAAAATCTAAATCTAGAAACAAAAAATATAAACCAGAACAACGGCAACGCCAAAGCGTAGCGAATCCCATTGAACAGCCATGGATGGCATTTTTACAAACAAAGTATATAGCAAAAATGGCAGACATTTTTCAAATTGGCCGCCGTCTACCAAAAGTGTCATTAGACCATTTGCCATACTTATAGTATTCACATACCAAATATGAACAAAATCGCTCCACTACTTTTCGAGTTATAGTAAAATACGTTAAAATGGCGGCCATTTTGAAAAATGGCCTCCTTCTACCAAAAGTGTCATTAGACAGTGTGCCATCCTTATAGTATTCACATACCAAATATGAAAAATAAATAGGTTAAAATGGTGGCCATTTTTCAAAATGGCGGCCATTTTTTAAAATGGCCACCTTCTACCAAAAGTGTCTTTAGACAGTGTGTGATGTTTATAGTATTCACATACCAAATATGAACAAAATCGCTCCACTACTTTTTGAGTTACAGCAAAAATCGTAAAATAACGAGTAAAGGTCGCCATTTTTCAAGATGGCTGCCATGTGCTTCTTTAATATCTACATTTCTAGCTTTATTAATGTCCTATATAATTTTTTTACATCTAAAACATATTGCTATTACAGTTTTACATATTGCACCTAAATTACTGTAAATTCGGCACTAAAATGGCCGCCATTTTGAAAATTGGCTTTCGAGCAGAACTTCTACCCCCATAGGGTATATGTGTACAAAATATGAACAAAATCGGGCCAACGGTATTTGAGTTATTGCCCGGAGGGACGGACGGACGGATGGAGGCGTTCCCTATATCCCTCCGAACTTCGTTCGATGGGATAAAAATGACCCTTTGATAAAAACTTTTTTTGTAAAATCACAATAATTCATGTTCTGCTCAAACTAGCATTCAAGGTATCAATCATATGGTCTAACCAAAATATAACACTATCAATGTTTAATATAAGAACAACACATTGATTCATATGTATTCAGACCGCACTTGTGTTGCAGAGATACATGTAGTGGTGATTCAGGTGGACCATACATGTGTAAACAGCCTTCTAAAATAGAAGATGGCAAGGTGGTACCAGGAAAATGGGTTCAGTATGGGATTGTGAGTTGGGGTCCTTCAACATGTGGAGAATATTCAGGTGTATACACAAAGGTGGCACATTATACAGATACAGGGGGGGGGGGGGGGGGGGGTAGGTACGAAAAATTTCCAATGAACATGCGTGACACATACGGGATTCGCGTGACAAATCCGAACAAATTGCGTTCGGTTTTTTCCGGCGTTCGTATTTTTGCCGTATCGTAAACATATTTCGAAAAAATTTCTACAGAAATATTTTTGCGTGACAATTACCAGGTAAAATGCGTATTTTGCGTGACATTTTCTGTCACGCAAAAAAAACTGGCGTGACTTCAAATTCTTCAGCAAATGCGTGACAAATACGCAAATTGCGGGACAGTTGACAGGCCTGCTTTAGTGATAAGTAAGTGGTAGTGCAATCTTTTTGAGGAAAATAGTGGTAAAAATACATTCCACCCTTTTCTATAAAAGGTTGCCATTTATACTACTATTGTTTTGAAGAGGATCTGCAACTCTGCTTATAACTTCAGCCTATATCAAAATACCATACAGTGCATATAATCTAATAGGTCACCACAACTTATAGTGTGATCATGCGCATTCCATCTATTTAAAGAGTAGAAAACATTTCCTTACTTGTATTACATTTACTGCATTTAGCATCCATTTATACATCAGACTATATTATCATACCATAGAATACAGGCAGTAATACGTTAGTCACCCCAACTGGTGTTATCATGGTACAAAACATTTTACTTACTAGTTTTACATTTGCTGCATTTAGCACCCATTTATCTGACTTGATGGGTATCTCTCCATATAATTAGTTTCTCATCTTTTTAATTTTAAATATATATATCATATCCATTACTATAAGTCTTTATCTTAATGTTAAGCAAGTATGACTCTTTGGTATAATGTTCAAATCTGCTGTTCATGTTAAAGTTCATATTTAAGTTCTTGTACGATGTAAACACACATGATATCACATTTTTAAATGTTAAAGCATTGCATCTAAGCATGTAACCTTAGTATGTGCTCCACCCAAATATTACTCAACTTTGAAAAAATTCCAAAATTCCTTTCCTGACTTATAGATTCCTTGATACAAATGTACAACTTGTCTGCAACAAATCTCATTCATTCATAAATTAAACAAACACTATGTTCTCTACAAATCCTTAATTTACACTATGTCCTCCTATGCCTGGTTTGTTTCACACAAGAGCTCAGTTACATTCCCTAGGAAAAGGTATTATATGTACTTACTGTATAACTAACATTACTTTCCAAAAAAAAGAAGGGCAAAGAGGGAAACCAAATATGCCACAGATGTGGGGAACATGTGGAGAATTAAGATTTACCTATCTGCAACATCTCCAAAACACTTGACTAACATTAATAGCAGATAACAACCTGTTTCACATTACTTATACCATACTTCAAGAAAATGTCATTCTTGTTATGATGTCTGAGAACTTGAGTGAAAAATTTGTGGAAACAACAAGGAAAATCAGTAATGTTGAAGGAACATTTGTCAAATAAATACCTCATTTTGTCACTCATAAATATTAGGAACCTTTTTTCATTCATTATTTACCAATGTTCTGCCTAAGCATAATAAAAATTGTGTGCTCCCTGTTTTTATTCATTTTAAAAATCATTAAAAATATGTGATTCTAAGAGTAAAGCTTGCATTAGAAGCACTTCTATATTTAATTGTGCTCAGCCTCAAAAGCACTGACTTATGTTCCCTATCTCATGAAAATTGCATTCTTGGTTCACTCCCACACCCCTCTTACATACATCACAATGTACAACTACAGTGGTGTATATTTATTACTATATTCATGTGCATTACATAATCAAAGGTATCTTACCTCTAAAGTGTGCTGGGTTGACTGGATTGCTAACACTGCGTTGAGGAGGGTGGGTCAATGGTAACTTCACCAGGCTCTCTCTACTAGTAGCAGGTACACTTCCCGCACCTAAAGAACATGATAAGTCACATAAGTACTGCTGAATGGGGTTTTGTACGTCTGGATAAGATGAGTTACAGTGTACTACCAATATGATATGTAAACAGGGTATGGTGAGTGCAGGCTATATAATATACTCAGAAACTTGTAGTGTGCATTAAGTCTCTGTGACCAACACCACCATCACATATATTTCTCCACTCAGTGTCTCAGAGAGAATGGTCAGGTATCAACAAAAGGGCTGGAAGCAAAAATAAGCGAAGATGAATGCCAAACCCCTAGTAGGAATGAAAAGGACCTGGAATTAAAAAATACAAAACCGAAGATAAGATTGAGACTACTGGTACCCATATTCTGAAATGATAATTTCTTGATCAATATCATCAATATCTAGTGCTTTATGCAAACAAGATACAAATAAAGACTGTTGTTTGTAACTTCATACCTATGATATCATCAAGTTTTTGAAGTGCAATATGATGCATTGGTACAACAGCAGTTTCATCTTCTTCTACATTGTCAACAGCAGTTGGTCTTACATCTGCTTCAATTGATTCATCAGCAATCAGTTCATCACAGTTTCCATCGGTTGATTCATTTCTATTTGTTATTATGTCATTTTCACGAAAATCTTTCTCATTTGTTTCTTGTTTGTCATTTTCCTTCTTGTTGTAAATGGTCTCATTTTCAGCATAAATTTCTACTACATTGTCATTCTCTAGGTCACCATTTCCTCCATTTTCATTGTTTTTAGCACCACCATGTTCTTTTTTACAATTATCTGCCTCAATATTTTCTGGTTTTCCACTGTTATCTGTCTTATTATTTTCTGTCATACTACTGTTTTCTAGCATACTATATTCTGCCTTTTCATTATTATCTGCCTCCAAATTTTCTAGTTTTCCAGTGTTTTCTGTCTCACTATTTTCTACCATACTACTGTTTTCCAGCAGACCATTTTCTTCTGCCTTTTCGTTATTTTCTTCCTCCATTATTTCTGGCTTTCCACTATTTCCACTATTTTCTGGTAGACTATTTTCATTTTTGACAAGAGTGATTACAAGGTCAGATACACACCTTTCTGGTTCTACCATCTCTTTATTCTCCATATTTCTATTTTCATTAAATCCAATTTTGTTCTCTTCACTGCTTATCTCATAGTCTTCAATTGATTGTTGTCCATTTATTTCCTTATGAATATCCTCCATGTCATTGTTCATGTGATCATCTTGACTTCCTCTTTCAGCCATGATATTAACCGTTTCACTCATTAATCCAAATCTGCAATGTATCTTTAAGTTCATTTACATGTTAATCCATTAATTCAAATGTTAACAAAAATACTTTTCCTGGTTTTGAATTTATTGGATTTAAATGAAATCATGCGGAATTCTGTCTGATAAAATTCATGAATCTAGGTTGATCTTATTACTCATAAACAAGTTCAATGCAACATGATCCATATATTATTTGTTAGGAACTCATAAATTCAAGAAAGTTCTATGAGTTCATCAAACTCAATGATGTCATATTTATCGGATTTTACATTCTAACATGAAATATCAATCCTCAGATTTCTCTAACGCATCACCTGATGTTACATAAGAGGATCACGTCATTTATGCCTGCTATATTGATAAGTAATTCTTTGCTTCTGCACCCTGTTTTTCATCCAAGTTATAGACATTTTGACTTGTTTTTCCAAAAGAAACAAGAATTCTGCTCAAGTGCTTACTATGGGATTTAGATAAATCAGCACAGGTGAAACATATATATTAGAACGTGATTGTTTATCAGAAACATCACAGGTGGGGATTGGAATCAACTCTCCACTATCTCTTGGGATACAAATAGTCCTGGAGAGAAACTGATGAAGATTTTGTTACTTAGTGTACTTAACATACCAGTATGTGTCAGTTCACTGTATCACATCAGAGTCTAGATATTTTTAAACAAAGCATTGTTATTAAAATGATTGCTTATGCCAACAACTGGTACAGACCACCTACACAAGTCACAAAAAATATTGCTATAACAAAATGTCATCACTTCTTGGTGGTGACATCAAAAAACATAATATCTCAATAGTAATATATTACTATTGAGATATTATGTTTTTTCATAACAGTGTCTCACTTTGAATGTAAAAATGTTAAGTTATGATGTTATGATGAAGTCTCATATCATGTTTCCATGTAATATAATCCTTTGCATAAAAATCATTCTCTATAAATTATACAGAATATAAATGCTCTTCCCCTATAGACTCTGTCTCTCCTTATATTCTTGGCAACCGTCCCTTCAACAGTATGTTCATCTTGGCAATGTACAGTAAGTTTTTGGATGGCTCTGGATCGATGTGTACTTCCTTCTTTGCCTTTTCCCCAAAATACATCACAACGAATCGTCAAAGACTGGGTCACTTTGTTTGTACTTTGATTTGTTATTCGTCACATTGGTATCATAGTCACAAGAATCATGTGAGGCACCCCCATCTCTTATAACATGCCTTGTTACAACAAAAAGGTATATCTATCCCATCATACATTGGGCAAAATCACACACATGCACTTGTTTCAAGCTAATCACATGATAATTTAAACATGGGATATGTATGGGTCCTCATTCTACAACAACAATGATTAGCCTGTATCCTGATGTTTCAATTAGCACAATTAAAATTCATTAATTTGACATGCTGCTTTACGCTATGCTGGCTCATGTGCTACAATAAATTGCATATAAAAAGCCTCATTTATACGACCCTGTAAGGTCCACTATACTCAGATGACTATTGACTCCACCAGAGGTAGACTGGCCAAACTTGGGATAATTACTTGACAATTATTTTGTTATTCTAAAGTTAATTATCCAGATATTAGACAGGGTAAGATGCTTGTATTAACTGCACCTCCAATCTAGAGAGCCCGCGTTCTATTTGATTAATCAGAATCATGTTAAACCTGTAAAAAGATACAACTAAGTAGCTGGCATACTGCTGTGGGTCAAACACCTCTTTGCCATGAATGTCTCCATTCTGCTAAATTTCATGCAACATGGTAGAATATAAAATACAGAATATACAGTAATTCTGAAACAGTAAGATGTCCAGTTTATACTAACAAATACAAGGATGTCGATAGTCTAAAACTGTTACCATGTACCATGCCTTAGAAAATAGCTAAATACTGCTTACCTACATTCATACTAAATCCAGAATAATGTAACCCAAGGGAAAGAGCAAGTACAAAGCTCTTTGAGTTATCCCATCAATAAAATTTTCATAAACTTTTTTCATATATCACAGTGAAATATGGTAGGATGAAATAGATATAAAAAATTCTGACATAAACTCCAGACCCGGATGGTATAATAATCAGTCCTATATCAGCAACAATTACATATTTTCCATGAAAGTTATTTGATATGCACTATGTTAATCATTTTCTGAACAAGCTAGTTTTACATCATTCCATGGTATATATATATGATAGGGCTACCTTAAATAAAATGTTGCAAGAGATCTGATTACATTTTCAAAATCTTAAAGATGTTTGCATCAAAATATAACAAAGTCAAGTTTAGAATTTTCATAATTCATATTTCATATTTTTATATCCATGTTAGTCTGTTCAATTTTTTATTCAAGATTGGCTCTAATACAGAGGTTAGTAGTTATTAATAAGGGTTAAGATAGATCAAAGGATTATCTGTTTTTGAAAGAGTTTAGATGGAGCTCTCTACTACTACTCTCTCGATGTACCTAATGGAGCTGCCACACTTAGGTCATGTGGGCTCACCGTTCACCACTGTGTGAATACTTTGGACAGATGGTGGGACATGTCATGGATAGGTAGGGCACTGCATGGATATACACAGTGGGCAAAACAAATAATTTTACAGAAAAGATATACCCAATCACACCAAATACCAAATTGAAAAATTAATATGCAAAATTAGACAAAGGGTGAGCCCACAAGGCTAATGTGACAGCTACTTATCATACTCAGCAGCTGACTAATGCTCAAAGGTATGATACGCTTAGAGTAAACATCTTCGATATTCATGATCACGATGATGCTTAATTTCTTGTGAAGAATCTAGGATATAAAAAGAAAGTAGAATTACAAGTACTGTACGAATTATAATAAAATGTGAGATGTGAGAGTTTGCTTGTTTTTTCTATGCCTTTTGAAGCCACAATTTGAGCACAAGAAGCCATCAGTGTTTTCCATGGCTACTATAATATTCAAAGGATATCAGGTTAAAATTTTTTGGAACTAACAGTAGAAAAATATTATATTTTTAGCAATTTTTCAAGATTTGCCCCATTTGTTCATCATTCTATAATCTTTCATTAAGCTCAAAATGATAAAGTTCATCCCTGAAACAACCCAAGATTGCGCTTTGGGGCAAACAGCAGCTTTAAACCTCAACTATGGGAAACCGTGCCAGATCCAATAGATTTTTGCTACTTGACTCAAAATGAGGCTGATAATAACAATGTCATAATGTTTTAAAAGAAAAAAACAATGCCTTATCAGTTATCTTAATTAGAAGTTTAGAACATGTCAAACACCCTTTAACTATAGAATAATAATACAAAAAGAACATCCTAAGATAGACAGATATCATAACCATTTGCCGATAAAAATCATATGGCTCATAAAGCATACTATATCCTCAATAAATTTTGTGATGAAAATAACTTGGCTTTGAAAATGCAACTTGCTTGTAACATTTTAAGGTTATCACAAAGTATCAGTTTAAACAGCAAGATATCTTGTTGCTATGAAACAGCATTGGTTACCTGGCAACTACATTCTTTTCAGAAATACGCCAAATATCTCTGTATAAGCAGCAAACATCCAACATTTTCCTTATTGATTTTATTTTAAGGATTTAATAATTCAATCTATTATTTTCATGGTTGAATTATTTGGAATAATTTATATTTGAATTTAACGAAGATTATAAATAGTGAAGTTACATCCTTCAGCCTAAACAAATCTTTACTGTCATATGAGTTTTTGTTTATTTTTAGTATTTGCATAGAAAAATGGCTGGTTGTAAAGTCATGTGTTTTATGTAACCTTTTCAATAACAACTCATTGAAAAAGTGTTAACTTAAAAAGAAATAATCACCCTACTTCCCTCATTGAAACTGCATTTTCATAATCAAAATACTTCTATACACAGTCATTACTGCTTATGATTTAAATTATTACGATTTCATAAATACATAATTTGTCAAAAGCATCTTGCAATTGGCACATACCTGGATTCTCAGCCACATAATCATAGTCATCAGACCACTGTAGGCCCATCTCTATAGAATTTGGTCACCTACTTAAGGTACGAATGACTTGTCGAAAACTGATCTCTTCAGTATCGAAAACTATACTGAACTTTCTTTTAGAAATCTACAGTGTATTACTAATTGTAGTATTTTCATGCTTGATTAATCAATGAACTAATTTTTCAAAATTTTAATTAAATTTCCAATTGATTTTAGATATAGACCTGTTGTTGGCAGCCATTTTCTGTCATTTATTCTGCTAATTTTCACTTAAGTTGTTTCTAGTCTTCCAGGTATACTGTAATAGAAACCAGTATGTCTGTGGTCGGAAATGCTTGATTTAGTATTGCCATCAACGAAGCATCCCACATGGCGGATCAAGGTAAAACTAGCACAAAACCACACTTCATAATCCATTTGGAAATCTCTAGGGAGACCATTTAAAAATCCTAAAATTTGCATATTTTTATTTGAAAATTCCTTGATGTGACAAGAAATATTCTACTTGGGTATGATTCCTCAGTTCAAATGTTGAATAAGATTTAAGATCGCTGATCCTCCCTGGTTCAGAAACAGTTACAAAAATCTCAACCAGTCTGTTTATATTTTTCTAACTGACATTAACAAGGTCTTACAAGATGAGATAATCCTAATCTTAGCAATGATACAATCTGGGGAAAACAAGAAGACAGAATAAATACATGAGATGTATGCATGCTACCTTCAAAAAGTCCCCTAATTACTGAGTAAAAGAAGTACACATGTGTTTATATTGCATCTTGGTTGCTGCAAAGAGAGATGATGAATAAATCTTACAATGAGTCATTGAAATCTAATTAACAAGCGTATAAAAATTATTAAATTACAATGATTTTTATTTTATTTAGAGTTTATTTAGACTTTTAAAAATTAAAGAGGGCCAAAGAACAGTCCGTTGATATGACAGTTAACCATGCATGGCAGTTTAGCTCACATTAATGGGAACAGTCAACCAGTCGAAAATGTATTGTAAACTGTACTTGTATTTTAGCAAGAGTTGGGAGCCCAGACTCCCTTAAAACCTCTATATAATGTCAGTACACATTGCTACAAAAACATGTTTGCCATAATAGTGAAATGTTTGACTAGGTTGGAATGACTTACACGATATTGAGATATTCACTGATGAACTGTCAAAAGTGCTTTACTTGCTAAAAGATAAATGCAGACAGATGAATATTTCCAGACAATATGAATAAGAAAGAAACCATTCTACAACATCGGACCTCTGTCGTTTTTAAAACATGTCTTCCTACATAACTGATTAAGAACTCATTCTCAAATATTTCTCAAAATTTCAAAATTGGTTTACTCCTCTAATTCATTCATGAACTGTTCATGAACTGCCCATGAACTTGATGGTTCTACAAATGTAACAATCTGAAAATGAAACATAAAATCTGAATTTGTTGGTTGTAACATCTTATTTTCAAATTCCACCTAAAATCAACAAATAAGAAGCTGTTACCTTTTCTGTGTTTCCTGCAACTGCAGCAAAATAGATGACAAACTCTGCGCAATGACATCCTAGCTGGTGTATCATTGAGATAGACTAAACACTAGTGAAAATGAAATATTCAGAACGTGATGATGTGATTGTATATATTAAAGATGTGGAAATTATGGCATGACTATGTCTGGAAGTTGGAAAATCTGCAAAACTCCTACTTGATTTAGAAGAGACACATTACACATTTTATGAGTCAGATACAGCTAGTAAGTGCAGTCTGTTTCCTAAAACTGGATGTGCTAACTAAAACAATACACTCCTACCAGAAATGCTTTTTAAAGTATTTGTGCATTAAATTTCGGTATATTGGTTGCAAGTCATTTTACATTTGGAACATATGTAAGAACTGTTTTATGTTCTCTCCTCAAAATAAGAGTTTCTTCAAATGGAATTAACTTGGGAGAGTAGATACTTTAAACATATAGTGGCAGATCCATCTATTCAAGAACAGTTTAGATAAGTTTTGAACCATGTATAGTGACAGTGTTGCTAACTAAAGCAGTTTAACATCTACATGTACTTCAAAATATGGTCTGGTACATATTGAGGTATAACTTGTGCTGTGTGACTGAAAGAGGGCGCTAGCAGGCAAAAGCTTCTTGCTAGTATACATTATACATACATACATACAAAAGCAAAAAACAAAAAGTTTAAAATTTCAGTGGCTTTGGTTATTCAACATGTGACATCAATTAATATAAAAATTTAATCAAAAAACTATTCAATAAATATAATGACATACCTAAATTTTTACCCGAAATGCTGATAATATCTGGGTCTGTGTCGTCACTATAGAAACCCTCCTCATCATCCCATGGGGAGACATCTTGTATCAGATCAAGCATACGTTGGTATCCCTGGGAAAATTGTTGAAACGTTGGTGCTACGATTGGATTGTGGGGCATGCTCGGGATCTCCTTGCGTAGAACATTATAGTTATTAAGCACTGCTTTGTCTGCGTCAATACGTTGTTCTAATATGATAAGTAATGATGTAAGATATTGGTTTGTTATTGCTGGCTCAATGACATTTAGAAGAGATTTATTTTTAAAGATTCTTTCTTGGATATCAATCAGGCTCATTTGCATCATCCGTTGATGGCTAGCCACGCTCGGAGCTGGTCCTTTATTCACTGAACTAGACACAGGGATTTTGTTTGACAGTCTTAGCTCTTCTAGTTTACCAAGAGCACCTTTGTATTGAGAAACTGTTTTTTCAAACTCAATTTTCAGAGCATCGTGTAAGTTCATGAGCTTTTTCTCTGAGGTGTCGACTAATGCATGGTTTCCTAATCCTTCTAGAGAGCTGACAAATGACTTTGACCTCCGATGGAGTCTATTCCTCACCCTAGGATCCACATTAACAAGGACTGACACTACATTACGACAAGCTGGCATGAAATGATCCTGGTTCAAATTTACCGGCAGACTTGCATCATCTATTCGTGCAAACCATTCTACCAGCTTCGATATAATCTTATCTGGAGGCAATGATTTTGTTGGAAATCTGCTATCTTTGCAGTAAACTTTTAAACATAGTGCTTCAATAATACTGAGAGTTTGCGGTATTGCTTCGATGAAACCTGCATTGGGTAAATGTTTAATGATGTCATAGACAACTTCAGGGCGAAGTTTATTTAATAAGCTCGCACATTCTTCAAATTTCTTACCCTCAAATAGGAGAGCTACTTTACGGATTGCTAAATCAGGATTTATTTCTTCCGTCTGCATTTTGTTTTGTTCAACAGGTGGCGCTAGTATCCAATGCTTATTCTTCCACATTAAACTCTGCATGTTTTGTTAACAAAGTCACTTGTAAACTTGATACAATGTCGTGATACATCTGGAAAAAGAAAAACAATAAGTTTAATTTTTTAGTCAAATAAATAAATAAATTGATAAGGTAAAATTTTTTATTAACTTCCCTGAACTACATGTAAGTTCCCTTACCAAATTCTAAATTATATCTTCAGTAGTAGTTTCGTTGCCTTATGTTGTTATGCCAATAAAATATTTCAGACAAATAACACCTACATATTTCATGAACTGGTATAGTAACTCCAAGCTAAATTGGTACACTACAGTATATGTTTTAAGTTAAAATACATGGCATTCTTTGGGACTATTTATCACTGAAGAATGAAAGTGATGGTACAAAATTGAAAGGAAATAGGAAATTTAGAAATCCGGTAAAAGTCCATAAAGCTAGAAGTTTGCATACATGTACATATGTATACATACATATAATTTATGGTTACTGTATACAAAGATAAATATGACAGTAAATAGATAACATGCTTCAAATGAACAAAGTGACAAGTTGAAATAATAATTATAGTAACAACTATATATTCTTTTATTGACTCTTATGTATGTCAGTCTCTCAGACACATGGGTCACTATACAGTTATTTACATGTGTTTTATATACTGTCCTTATCTATTTTGATGGATGGATCAAATTATGCTTATCTTCTCTCTCCTATTGAAGAACAAATTAAATAATTTCAGGCCATCAAATATTATTATCTGATTGGAGGAAATTAGTTCAGGAAGTTGTCAGTGAAATTGATACTTTACCCCACTCAAATACAAAAAAGTGGTCTTCTATTGCTATGGAAGAAAAATACATGTGCCCCATTGTTTGAAACAGTTCATGACAACAATTTGCAGTCAATTTGTTGAATTATGGGCATTTTCTGTTGATATGAAATGAAAATGGGTTTATATTACATTTATAATCCAAAAAGATTTAATTGTTAGTGAGCAGTCATGGTCAAAAGTGGGCCTTTTTGGTCATAACTGGGCCTTGTAAGGCATTATTTTTTAATTTTAGGCCAAATTTTGAAGAAAATGGGCCTCAAAATTTCAAAATTTGGGGCCACTCTTTGGTTTTAGGGGCCCAAAATTTTTTACACAGAAGTTTCATTCTCAGACCTGAAATTTGGGCCCCCTCCCTTGTTGATTCACAGATCCGCCCCTGTAATGATACTATATGTGTCAATTTAAATGATATATATACCTATGAAATGTTGTGCACAGACTAGTACATTGATAAACTATTATGTAAGTTCAAAGATATCATACAATTGAAGTTACTGTTAGAACAGCTACTGACACAAAGAAATGTTTTCAACAAGAAGTACAACCTGAGAAACATATATCCTTGTGATCATTAATAGAAAAATATGTTTAGTTTGTGGTATCATTTTACCAGACTCTGTAGCTTATTTATTAGAACTTGAAGGTTGCTTGTCCAGGAGAATTCACTAAACCAGAATATGCAGTTTGGCTTGGTTAAATTAGATATGATGCCATATCATAGCCCCTGCTAAAGCCATCATACAGTGGTGTACCATGCCCTGATGCTACTAACATTGTGACAAAACTGACGTGTCATGGAGATATTACCTGTGCCACTGCTCTTTCTTGCTTATTACTTATAGGTTAGAAAGCATTCCCATTTTTCACAATTCGGATTAATTCAAGTAGATGCAGGTTTAGCTATCAATGAGTGCTTTTTTTTGTTAAAATCTCAACTGGATGCAAAGTCTACTCAAAATACTGGGAACTGTGTTTGAGGGCAATCTCAAAAATTGTGTTGTGGAGAGAATGTACATGTAATGTACTATTCAATTAATCATGTGACTTCTGGAGTAAAGGATCGAACACCAATACAAACAAACAATAATGAAAGAACAAAATAGATGTTCAGCAGCTGAACCAAATCTTTCAGCCTCTTAGTTGTTTGTATCAAAACAATAGTAAGAATGTATACATAATATTGCTGTCATTCTTGATGTTTTCATTTTTAATTGTAAATAAAGGAAACATCTATCCAAGCGTCTAACTGTTCTGAATGCATATGATATTGCCAAATCAGTCATATAAAAAATACATTACTGATCAAAATAATCCAAGTGAACATAGGTGAAAGATTGTAGGAGTTCATTGGTATTTCTTAATAAATGGAATCTAAAATTCAACATGCATGCTATTTTAAAGGCATTTTATGCTTGGAATAAATGTTACTTTTGCATAAGGAGCCAAGTCAATAAATTAACATTTGTCAAAAACTAAATTGATTTTGTTTTGACAATTATCCCCTTCTATTCCCTTTAAACAAAACTTTCACTGTTGAATGTAACGCCTCAATCGCATCTATGGCAACCATACGGCAGCCATAGATTCCCAAATCGAGAGAAGTATGCAGCACAAAATATAGGGATAAGCAATATGATGTAGATTTTTTCTAAATCAATATTATGAAGCTATGGCCCCCGTAAAGCCCCCACCATAGCAGATGTGTCTGAGGCTTAACTGGCAGCACTAGAAAAACCATGGGGCACAGGCCCTAGTACTAACTGAAATCAAACATAAAAAGGGTGCAAATGATGAACAGGGGCTGTTATGAATACAAAAGAAACAAACTGATGTCATCCCAAAACAAAGTGGGCTTTTACCTCCTACGACAAACATACATAATTACTTTCATTATTTGGAAGTATTTGCTCATATTGTGATTTTTGTATCATAATTTCCTGAAAATGAAAATGTCAAAGTTCACATAGGGAGATAAGTACATATAGTTTCATTCCATTCACCATTTAATTGTCTTCTTAAATCTAGGTGATACTGTACACTAATTCTCTAAAACTAATTCATTAATTGCCAATACTGGATAACTCACAACTATATTATTGATACAATTTATGATTTAGTGTTTAATATTTCATGATCATTTTTTACAATAATAATTTCTATTCATTTTCTATTGAGAATATTTGAAACATTGTAGACTGGGAATCAATAGTCAGATACCAATAGTTTACTATCCATTTTGGGCAAATTGGAACAAGGTATTAACATGTAAAATGTTACCACTGCCATTTGTTACAGACACCAACCACCGAACGCTGTCACAGATGTCAAACACCAACCATTGATTACTAACTGTGGAACACAATCCCCCAAAAAAGTTGGAGACTATATGATTGTCACCACTTCTGGTGTCGGCATAAAAATTAAGTTAATTTTATTAATCTCTCTCATATATTAAAATTTGAAAATGCTGATTTGCATTTCACTTGAATATTCAAAGAATAACATTCTTACATACATATACTAACCTACTCCTAACCAATTTTAGTTTTTTCTGCTGTTTACATTTCAACACGCTCCCTAAACAATGTTCAATTGTTCTTTGCTTTTTGATAATTACATTTAAATTATTTATTAAATGGATAAGTTTATTGTCATCATTTGTTTTCTTTCAAGTAAAAGCACTGAATTATTTAAATCATTAATTTTTCAACTTTTACAGAGCGTATGTTTCAATGAACAATACAGATTACCCATGACTGCTTTGTTATGTTACCAGGCCCCGCTATAAGAAGCATTTACTTGTACCTACTACCTGGCACCATATATTGAATCTAACACCTTATCTGGGATCCCGTCTGGATAATAAATAGGGACTTGATGCAATACTAGCACAATTTGTTTCAAGATCATAATGTGGTAAGCCACGCCCACCCCCTCTCCATTTCTATTCTTCTGGAGATTGAAAAAGTGTTATGATATGTGTTATGATAATTCAATGAGATCATTTCTTATCTGGTTGACTTTCTCCTTATTTGGATTATGATCATCAATATGTGTATGAAATAGGAAGCAACTCAACTGAGATGATCCAGAGTAAGAGTATGTTACTTCTAGGTACTAACCAGGCCCATCTTCGTTCACTCAGCTCCCGTCGGTCAATGAGCGCAGTGAAGACCGAGCGTGCGAAGATGAACCAGGCCTCAAGATACCATATTTGCTCAACAGTAGCATTCTAGTATACCTAAGCTGTAGGCTCTATGTATTAATATAAGACTATTGAGGAACTTGGTGATATGACCAGCTCAATATGAAGCCTAGAAGTCTAAATTCAAGGTATGTTGAGGTCTGGTTAATATCAGTGTACTTGCATAGATTTTGTGAAATAGCAATTAAATCTAAAGCAAGTAGCAATTTCAAAATATCAACCTTGAAGGGAATGCAGTCAATGGTCTAAAAAATAAATAGATATAGCTGGAGTTTATCATGTTATCTATCCCAGTCCTTTAACTGCATCTTGAATAAACTCATCCGTGATTTCACTCCTTTACATATCTTTAACTATTTGAATTGATACTTCATTCTTAGCTTCTTTCACCTTTAGATAAGTTTTATCTCATCAAATGATTTTGAAGAATTTGTTTTTTATAAAATGAGTTTTATTCCAGATGGAGGTTACGCAGAAGCCTTGTTATATCAAGTTTTCTTTCGAGAATCAATTATGTTACTCTGGAAATGCTTGTAACAGTCAATGTAAAATCTCTTATCCTACACTTAGTGTACTAAATGTATAATAACATGAAAAAATAAATTTGATATTTATTGGCAAAATGAATATCCGGAGGATATCGTTACGATATACTCCGGGCGGAGGATATCGTGACGATATACTCCGGAAAACCCAATATGCGGAGGATATTGTGACGATATACTCCGCTTGTTGATTTCCCGCCAAATTGACTCTATTTGGCATGGAATCAATTTTACAATGATATTATACATTCAGTACACTCCTTGTAAGTGTAGGATAATAAGAACATCCTATGATTTTTTTCAGAATATCATTTTAATCTACTCGGTGATATTGATATATGCACTCGTTCGCTTCGCTCTCTCGTGCAGATATCAATATCACCTCGTAGATAAAAATGATATTCCTCAAAATCATAGGATATCCTATAATTATCTACTGTAGTTGCATTGTCACAATGAACATTAATAAAACTGTTACTCATACAATGACCTAAAGGAAATTAAGTCAGAGTAACATCAAATTATATTCTTGTCATCCAATCATGTACATTTAAAGTGGCACACAACTATTACCAAGGCTGACATAATCATGCTTTCAAATGTAATCAACAAAACATCATATATTAAATTATGTTTCAGGCTACTTGTGGTGTATATATAATGAGTAACACCAGAATACTTTTATCTATCTGTCATATACCAGTTTAGACTCATCAAACATGATTGAAAGCCCCCTGCTCCCTTAAATCATTATCAAAATATGTTCCTAAATAAAAATTCCAAATCTCAAATGGATACTATTTTTTTGTGAAGAAACAATGTTTTGATGCAAGAAAAGAAAAGATATAAAACTCAGAATACACTGTCAAGTCATGTTTTCAAATAGTACTGGATGAAGGGCCAAAAACAAATAAGAGCATGGACTAAGTTCTCCCATGAATTTGAGCTATTAAAGACTCCTAATTAAAGTTCTTGATGTTATTAGCATCCATATTTTGACATGGCTTGAACAGCCAGTGGTTATATGCGAATTGTGTCGCCATGTACACAGATGCATCGCTACCCTGCGCGCAGAGTCTAGTTATAAACTACCCTCTGCCTAGTATAGACTATATATTTACAGTTTAGCAGTCCCGCTCCCACGACCAAAGCCCATGACAGCTCGGATCATAAATCATTTCATATCTACTGCCCTGACCTATTCTCAACCAATCAGTGAGCTGGAAGGAACAAGTGCTAAATGCATGCACAATAATTATACGATTACATCAGAGAAAATGACCATATTGAAAACTGAAAGAATGAAGACGAAGCCCTCTTTTGAGAAGCAAAGTCGAACGAATGCAAAGGGTAATGCATCGCATGCTAAAATGAAGAACGATTGTCACCTCATCTCAGCAATAATTTTTACACAGATGTTAGCCATCCATCTTTTAGGATCATACAACCTGGTGACTTAGCTTCAGATTCAGCTTACTATTAGTTTTCCCTTGGCCTATGATCTAAAACATCATTCTACTACCCTGCACTATGCCAAAAATATAGAAATTAGCTGAAAAAACTCGGAATTTGATAATTAGCAGTCACGACCCAATTTTTATTTATTGTGCTAATTAAATATGCGAGCGTGCACAGATATAATCATGTAGAAATTAGATAGTGGAAGGGATTGTTCATTTTTATTTCAAACTCGGCTAGTTTAACGAAAATAAGAATGCTTTGCAAAACTGTGCAACGCATAACGGTCAGGTTTAAAAACAACACTAGAGTGGATTACCACGGACTGATGAAGTGTGAGGACTATCTAGAGCTTAGGAGTCATTGCATGAAGTCCTCGTGCCAAAGGTTCCGTCCAAATTGGAATTGTGTGGACATCCAGAAAATTTTCCTCAAACATTCCTTCCATCACCTTACTATTACAATTATGCTTGAGAACACACTATTACTGATTAGTATTGATTATCACCTCAATAAGAAATCATCTTGAAATTTCAGAAGTTGAATAACATTTTCCTTTATTTATCATTTTGACGTTAATCGGGTAATTGAGCGTATACAAACCAAATCGTATCTTACATAGGATATGTGACTTACAAGCTTCAAAAACAATTCACGTAAAATAAAGACGAACAAGTATAGAAAACGAACAAAAATTACCTTTGAAAAGTTTATAACTTTTTCATCCATTGTGAACCGGAAGTCAATACTATCACTAGCGACATCTTTTCACAGATATGTACTTTATACAGTTTACATTCCTTAGTGTTGTTGTGAAGCTTTTATTGATATTTGAAACATCAATAAACTAACAATATGTCATAGTCTATGCATAAATGGGATTTGCATTGGATTTATCATAATTTGACTTGAATCTTTTTACTTTGTATTCTATTTTGAAGAAAAAACCTACATATGTGTCCCATTTTGACAAAAAATCCCGAGAACTTGGGTCCTCTTTTTGAAAATCCTTAAACTCAGGAGTGTTTTTAATAAAAAAATCACTGGATTTAGGTCTTGTTTTTGAAAAATTAACTCGAAGTGGCTCTATTTTTCTTAAACAACCTACTCGTGGGTCCATTTTTAGACAAAAAATCCCGAGATGTGGTTGGATATCTTGAACCTCGGCAGCACCCCCTGTATAAAAAGATGAAATTTTTCAAAATATACAATCTACAATTTTTTGGGGGATGACCATAGTATACTCCTTCCAATGTTGTATTGCAAGAAGAACAAAACATAAGACTATCATTTGGTTCATTTATTAAGATTTACATGTTATATACATGTTCACACAAATCATTAGTCTACATAATACACTGTATCATTTTTATGTGCTCCCAATTATTTACATGCGTGATGGCGCAATGGCGCATGTGTAGTAAAATGACGAGATTTGATTTTAAATGTATTCTTTGGTTATGGTTTTAAATACTTTAACATAAAATTGAAAGCAGACACATTTTGGAGACAATTCACACAAGGCCATACACTATAATACAATTTATTTTTATGAAAAAGAAGTTCTACCTTGCTCTAATCAATACTTTCAATTTGCATTTTCATTTTTCAAAGTGGATATCATGAACTTCAGTTAATAACTTAACTTTGTATGCATCACACAGTAATTAAACCAGTTAAGATTAGAGCGAATCTTTATAATGCTTAAAGACTCTAGCATATATGAATTCAGTTTTTTACTGACTCCAACCACCAATCACTCAAATACACTTAATAAGCCCAAATTCCACAAAAAGTCAAGGAACCGCAATTCTGCGAACAACACATAAATAATCCAAGGCTTTATACAATATAATTGATATTTACATCATCATCTGCATCATTTTAATAACTTTACTTCCTAATATTTTCTTTTATTATGGTACATAATAAAATGAGTTGATTTCAAACAATTTAAAGTTGGTCCCCAATCACAATAAGGTATTCTTTGGATGACAATCTTAAACTTATATCGCATACAAAAATATATTTGTAGGGAACATTTCTTAACAACATTATTTAAAATTCTTTAACATAACTCCCTAATCTTCATCGAGTAATGTTACCACCTTTAAAAGAAATGAACAGTTTTTGTACAACAATATGGTAGACAAGTGACAACTAAAATAAAATCAACGATATTATAATGCATAACTCTTTATAATAATATGAAAAGTTCAAGAAAGGATTATTTACATACTTATAGCCAGCTAATCAAAGAATAGGTAACTACTGTATAACTAATATTGTAGTTTGAAATGTCATACTAAGAAAACATACCATTTTGTGAATGTGTTGCCTAGTTTGGCCAAGAACAAAGATATATAGCTGGTATTGTAGTTTGAGATATCATACAAAAGTGACACACAATTATGTACATGTATATGTATTGTCTAGCTAGGCAAAGAACACAGAAAGGTAACAAGTATTGTAGTTTGAAATATACAAAGATGACATTTATTGATACCATACATAGGTGACACACACTTATGTATATACATGTATATTGCCAAGCTAAACAAGAACACAGTTAGGTTTGCAATATCAGAAATGAAATACGCTATGTAAAGTGACACTAAAAGTGAGAATGTCATAGACAACTGTTCACCAACTCAGGTTTTATCGTAAAAATGTAAATGCAGAATTACTTTTGCTGAGGAAATAGTATCAATGTCTAGCTTATTTTACACAAAGATTTCTACTCTTCTAATTATAAACTTAACCTTGAATACAAATGCCCAAAGCAAGACATCACATAATAACAGTGCAGAATACAACAAGTTTAAGGATCATAGTGCATATAGTATTCAGAAAAGGGGGGGCGTTGCATGATTTTAACAACCCCTCCCATTCAATAACATAATTGAGACGTTTAAAATATAAATACTTGTGCAGATTACAATAGTGCAACATAAACAATTTGACAAACTTGTAAAACTATATGACATAATAAGGCAAACAAGCCAATCGCTAACACAACATAATAATAAGCTAAACATGTAAAAGGTTTAGTACACTAAAGTACTCTGGAGTATACTATAGTACTATAGAGTATACTAGAGTACTTCATTATACTATAATACAATACACTACAGTATACTACATAATAGATATTTGACACTAGGGAGTAAAGAATAAATATCTATCTACAACAACAACTACAAGTAAATACATTGAATAGACTTAAGATCTGAATGTTTTCATTATTTAAGATGCCTCAATATTTGCCAAGGTACAATGTTAATCATACAAGGTGGGCAATGCAGGGATATTTTACTGAAACCAAGCCCTAATGCGGCTGACATTGTATCCTGGCAATATCCAGTATTTTGTCAATCCTATTCAAAACCAAAAAAAATTAATTTTCTATTTCTTAGTAATGTTCGCTTAGCTGTAAACTTCAATTTATCATGGCTTGCACTAATAACATTAAAGGCCTACTCAAGTGTAATATTTTACATAGGCCTACTGTACTTAAACATTGAGATCATAACAAAACATTAAATAATGCAATATACGCTGCAATTATGTGATGTAACATCTGTAGAACAGGTGAAGAATAATTGAATGATATACACATGATACGTTCATGACATAAGATGAAACTTTCATGATATAAGATGATACACTCATGATATTAGATGATTCACTCATGATATTAGATGATTCACTCATGATAACACAGACACTGAACTTACAACTTAAAAAGTTAGCATCATAATATACATGTATATATGTAGTAAAGTAGATCTGGCAAGATTTAAATGTCATGAAACCAATTTTTATGGATTAGACTTTAATGTTAATTCTAGCCCCCTGATCGGAGCATACGTGTCAGTAACGTAGATATCACTGGTCAGTATCAAGCGAATGTAAACAGCCGTTACCTTCGCATTAAGATGGTGGATGGTTAGTGTCAATTTCAATATTTTAAGTTTTCATTGAATTAAACCACTTTGAAGTCGATGTAATGCTTTGATATTTGAACTAAATCAGAGTTATATGACATGGAAACTCTGGGATATGGTCAATGTTCATATTTCATGCATAGGCGCTACATTTCAACGATTTATTCCAACACTTAACAGCATTTTCCTTCACTTGATAGTGCCCAATGGGACTTTGGAAGACATAATGATTGGGCAAGGCCATTGACAAAAGCAGAATTCATGCATAATGGATACACATTGGAAGATGCTGTATATAAATGTTAAATTGTATAAATGTAATGGGAGGTTTTGGATACAGGGTTTATCCCAAGGGAAGTATGTGTATCTCCTGAGGAACTGCAGGGACATTATGCTTGCTAGGTTTAATTCTGCTATCCAACTGATGTTTGCACAATCTGTAAGATAATCCTGTATTATGTCCTAGTATGCCAGACTGTAAAAGGTTGTACAACATGATTGTAAGTTCATTCTTTCTTCTTTACAGGTTCAGTTGATCTCGTACTAGAACCAGAGCAAGTTTTATAGCTGCCTATACTGTACATTATGTTACCAAGGCAAGTCCATATATCCTTGATACCTGTACATTTATATTACAGGGTGTTCTACAAGTGTTTTTATATTCTTGATACCTGTACTCTTATATTTCAGGGTGTTCTACAAGTGTATTTAAATCCTTGATACCTGTACACTATTCTATGTTATCATATACTGGACTGCACTACATGGGACCTGGCCCAACACCTTCCACAAATTTTGCAACAGCCAATGAGAACCATACACCTCCCATAATTCCTAGGACGAGGAAGAAAGCTGACATCATGGCTGCCACACCCGCATGTTTTGTGTCTAATGTTTCGGTCCTATGTGCAACAAAAAAATAAATAGATAGAATGTTTAATTAGGCTAGAGTAGTTGTGTTCCATATTCAGCAAAATACAGGATAAACAGTGAACTTCCAATGTCTATTTCATTAGGGTGATATTTCAATTGGGTGCTAAATCCTCAATTTTTCAACAAGGTGGCATGTTATTTTACAAATTTCAACAAGGGGCAACACCTAAATGCTGTAATGTTGAGGAGATCACTGCTATACATATGCATACATTTTATTCATTAAAATTAACCTATCAAAATGAAGAATAAGTCGAAGACACTCCACTGTAATTTGGTTGTCGATCATTGTGCAAAAGTTAATTAAATAAATTGAGAATTCAATGTTGTTTGCTTTATACTCACCTTGGTGCGTACATCATGCCAAGTGAACTGAAATAACCACTGGTTAATGCCATGAGGATGCCGCCAACCATATACACATAGTCTCCCCAAAGGCCACTAATATACGCAGGAAATGACCGAGTGGCGGGGCGGTAGTTGCAAAGCATAAAGAATGGAATAGCGATCACACCACGAATCAATACGGCTATCCAAAGATATTTAGGTCCAGGCTGAAAATCCACAAATTACAACATTATCAAACATCATAATTGGGTGGTTTTTTTTCGCACAAAACATGCTTACAGTTATGGCAGAGCAAGCTAATATTTGTATGTTGGGAATGGTTATGCAAATATTTTGTGTGAAGCTCATGAGAAGTAACAGAAAAAGTTTTTATAAAATCTAGAAAAATAGTTTCTGGTTTGAGATGTACTACTGCAAGGTTAATTACATATACGAGAACATTCTGCAGTTCAATGTGTATCATGTATGTTTGTCAGTGTTTTTCCTAAGGAAGTAACATACCAAAACTCATCGGACATTCGGACCTGTAACTTCAGTTTAATCACCGGTCCGTGTGAAATCTAACCAGTCCAAGACTAAGAGAGAAATGAAAGTAACAAATTTTAGAGCGAATTTCTTGCGAATTCAGTTTCAAATCAGCCCATAATCGCATGTTTTTATACATGTTAAAGGTGACCTACTTCTCAGCGTACACTTAACTGCAAATTATATTGAATTCGGACGAAATTTCCGAAAAAATCATCAAAAAATTAACTTTAAAGTTTACATTATTAATGCGCATGCGCATAATTCTATCGTTTTGAAAACGCTTTTGATTGGTCGATCAACTAAAATTCACGTGCCATCACTCGTGGTTCACCATGAGGTCTGCATGCTTACGAATACGGTTTCACGATAGCCCTGATAAACAGGCGTAATAATCATGGGAATCTCAAAACCGATCCAATATATGACAAAATTAACCAACCAATCAGCGATCAGATTTTGCAATGATACCGAAAGATAAACCAAGGGCGAAAGTAATACCCGGATCGTTCGCAAATTGGCGTTCGGTTTTTTACCGCATTCGATTTAATAAAACCTCACGCGGTAAAAAAATCGAGATGATTACCCAAGAGTCTAAGCAACCAATCGGAGAACAGTTTCTGTTTGATGCTGATAAAAAAATGATGATACGTAAACATCCTCCCGTGCAGCCAATTTCACAAAAATGATTTTTAGAATTTCAAGGTTTTACCGTAGATATAATGAGATTTCAGACAGCAATCGGACCAAATTTGGGAGTAAAGAAATGATTTTAGATGAGGAACCGGACACAGGCAGAATTGAGGACTGGCTACTTGATAAAACTCATCAGTCCGAAGCCCACATCACCGGAGATGTCCTATGGTCCGACGCTTAGGAAAAACACTGATGTTTGTTAAAATGTTGCCCTTTGGGTTTTAGCGAGACCTACCTTTCTGACCCACTCAGTGGTGAGGTTACCAAGCACAGCAAATGCATTGAAGAACAAGAAACATGTGACTGGAGTGAAATATTCATCTGAAATGAAAAGATCAACATTTACTAACTGGATATTTATAACAACACAATGAAATATTGCCAATTTAATAAGCAAATCTATTGGCGTTTAAAATCCAAACTGATCATAAATCATATCAAGTGGTTTTGTTTACTAGGTGATAAACCTTTTCAACTTTTAAATATCTACAGCAAAGAAGATTTGATCAGTTGATGGTTTAAAGTTTGGGATTCTTACATGAAACAAAATCACATGAAAAATGCTCAGAATGGTGAAAAAAAACCAGCATGAATTTGAAAGATTTTTTGGCCAGGCTGAGCCCCCCTGTCTAAAAGCCTGATCAATTATATTTTGAAGGGCCTTTACCTGGTATGAAGAATGCAGGATCTGATTTCTTGACATCTGCTTGTATGGCTGGGAAGATTGTCAACGTCACAAAGAATGTGAAGAATATACTGAACATCTGTTTAAATGTCTGAAACACAAAACAACACAACGTAAATTGCTGTATTTAGATGGTTTTAACATGGATATTTCAAAAAAAAATGATGTAAGCGTGGATATTATTTATTTATACTTTGTTCATCCATTATTCATATTTCATATAATCAAAAAGTAAAGATGACAACATTTTTCCACTGCACAATCCCATTGCATATCAAAATTCTAGTTCAAACGAAAAATTCTCATTTTCACAATTCAGACCTAAATTGGTCAAAATATGCCCATTTTGATGATTTTTCTCATTTTTAAGTGGGTGCAAGCCTGTTTTTAAAATATCATGTGGGTGCACCCACTTGCTTAATGCTGGGGAAATCACTGAAGTCTTACCTGTTTAAATATATGGAAGTAAGGTGGTGGGCTAGAGATTGCAACCTCTCCTTCCTCTACGCTGACGTTCTTTGATGTTTCTGCCTTCTTCTTGTAGAATCTGTAAAACTTGAGCAGAGGGAGTGCGAAGTATGTGTCGAATGCCAGCAACAGCACAAAGATGGCGGAGATGAAGTAATATATAGCTGATGTCCTAAGGTTAGGAGAAGCTGGAATAAAACATCCAAAAATTACTTTCCAGGTTCTTACTTTTTTAATTGTATGATTTTTCATGTATTTACTCTACGTGTATGCAGATGTTAAGTTCCTTTTAAGTTAAATAGACTAATCATAAGGCTTAGCTAGTGCAAATGAAATGTGCCTGATATACTAGAGTGTCTTGAGATCAAAATGGGTTTGGTGACTGTAGGCGTATTCAATAGAACGGTTTCAACAAGTTATGGTGTTATTGTATTACCTAATCACAGTTACCATGCAAAGAGAGTAGTAAGCGCAATGCCTATTGATATCATGAGTGATTACACTCTTCAGTTAATACATTAAAGGCCAGCCATGCTTAATTAAGAAGGAAAATATGCATAGTGAGGCTTTAAATCTTTATTTAAGAATACACACTACTTACTGGCTATAGATAGGATGAAGATTAGTGAAGTGATTGTACCACTGATATTCTGAAAGACAAAATTACACAGAATTACTACATGTTAAGATTTCATTCTGCTTCTTGTGTTTCCTTATACAAATACAGCTTAAACTATATTAAATCCATCTTCAAATTTTGGCCCTATCTTCCCAAAATCGAGAAATATGCAGCATAAATTATAGGGATTAGCAGTATGATGTAGATTTTGTATTTTTGTAAAGCTATGGCTGCCATAGAGCAGAGTGTGACTAAGGCCTTAATGAATAACATTAACACATTTTCCACATGCTATAGCTTTTAGCTGCACCAGCATTAAATTAACACCAGGGGCGATGAATTCGTACGATCCGCGATTTGATCCGGATAAATTTCGTCATGGTAATGATGCATTGTGGGATTTATCCAAGAATTAATCCAAAAATCGGTGAATTTGTACGATCCTGGGATTAATCTCAGGATAAATCTCAATCCACCTCTTGAGGTGGATTACCTTTTTATCCGAATTCCAAAGCAAATTGGATAAATCTTGGGGATTCCCCCTCATAATCCTCGGATGCTACGAATTCACCAAATATTTATCGGATTAGTAATCCAAGATTTATCCAAGAAGATAAAATTTATCTGGATTGGAATTGGGATCGTACAAATTCACGGGCCCAGGAAAGAGAACTTTAATGTCTTTGAGAAATGCCTCCGAAAATCAATTACTGGAGGTATGGATCATGTGACAGAAAGTACAAATATGGTGTTACTTACTGATCCCAATACTACAGCATTGGTGTATTTCATTGGAAGGATAGCTGCGGTTCCATAAACACAGTTCTGGTAGATTCCATTAGCCACTGGAATTATAAACACATGGTCATACAATAAAATATATTATCGGTACCTTAGTTGAAATACTTGTTTCTGATTGGTCAAAGAGCAGTCAACTGCCAAGATCGTGATTTTGTGTCAGGATATAATTCTAACAGCCAGCCTCTGTGCTAATTGTAATTTTATACTGTAAAATAGTCTCACTCTTGGGCTATCACTATTTTTTTTTTTTTTATTTATTTATTAAAATCATATAAACATTTATACATATCAGTGATAATGACACCCTAGTGGGTGTATGTCTTATCACAAGCTAAAATATTTGAAAAAAGGCATATTGTTAGTTACATTTATTATTGATTTTCCATACTTTATGGTGGTAGCACAATTTACATATAGTAATAGCTCCTAATTGATTTTTGACATATTTTTTGGTGTGGCAAATCCTCTTACGGACATTTTTTATTCAAACCAATTTTTTGTTCAATACACATATAAATGTGTGTACCAAACACAAATGACATATACTTTATCATATATGACATGTTTGTACACAAACTGACACAATCACTTGAAAAACACAGTATGACAATATGTGTACATGTGCATAATGACAGCTTATATATAAAACATCCCAGGTGGTCTACTTACTGTTAATAACTACTACTGTTCCCATTGTAACGCCAAAGAAAAGACCTGGCCCTGCAAATAAGAAAATACACACATTATATAATAATTTTAAACTAGGATTGAACAGAGGTGCAAAATATACAGGGTATACGATAATCAATCAATGTTGATGATCGAAAATTAGATCAGAGGTGCAAAACATACAGGGTATACGATAATCAATCAATGTTCATGATCGATAATTAGATCAGAGGTGCAAAACATACAGGGTATACGATAATCAATCAATGTTAATGAGTCGATAATTAGATCATTTTGCGAAGAGTTACAAGTCAATAACATAGCCCATATACAGTGTATTAGTAAGAATCACAAAATGAGGAATGTCATGTTTTGGTCCTACATCAAGTATCTTGTCAATGACTTGCTGCAAAACTAGACATGCATTTTGAATTGTATTCTGAACATATTAAATTGTTTTTCACTAATCTCCCTAGGTGTTCCATTATTGTGAATTGTATTATGAACACATTAAACTGTTTTGCTCTCATCTCCCATGGTGTTCCATTATCTAACTCTTCATATCTGGTGATGAGATATATAGCTTGATGCCAGACTACCCAGTACCACCCACTTTGAAAGTTGTACTTACATTCACTTGAGTCTACGATTGCTAGGATGACTGTTAATATGAAGCACAATATGACAACTATGATTGACCATACAATCCTCTTCCCAAGGCTCCCTCTGGAAAAATAAAAAGCACCATTGAAAATAGTATTCATGGAACTGAAAATAAATCCAAGTATCAAAAATGTGATACAGCCTATTAATTCTCATGAACGGGACTTGGATGACAACCAATTTCAATATATCAATTTATCAAGCTGAATTAAACAATTCAATCGTTTGTGATTAATTTGTAACTTAGTTTCGTCATTCTCCTAAGCAGGTGTCCAGAATCCGTACCTCCTTCTTCCCCCCTGCTATAACCAATTTGGAAGCGCCCGATTTAACTGAATCATGTGATCCAATTATGCGCAATGACATGATTTCTGTCGCAGTGTTGCGACAGCCAATCAGATTTCTTAATCGAGTTCTTTCCAGCGAGTTCTTAATCGGGGAAAAGGTAACTGCTTATCGCAGGACGTAAAAAGAAAGAATATATTCTGGATTCTGAAGCCCTGTGATCGGAGGATGAGTTGCGTACATTTTATTTATCCCATACTTGGACGTGTTACGGGTACATAAAGCCGGTTTGTAAAAACTTATATTTTCATTAGCGGGCAGATATAGCTTTACGTCCCGCTCCGAGCGGGCAGATATAGTATATCTGCCCGCTACGTCATAATCGCTGTTCCCGTATTGGTCCTTTTTTTGTAACGTTCGCATACTGTAAACGACAATGGAGAAAAACGCAGACAATCGCGATCTGTTATATGCTTTAAAGAAGGGAAGGAGCACTATGCCCCGTTTATAATCAAAGATTTGAACAGGAAAATCCGGCTACGGACAAAAATACAAAACTGGACATGAATATTTAAAAATAATTCCACGGTTTGTTGCTAAGTTTCTGAACTTTGGCCAATTGAACAATGTGATTGGAATGGGATAAACAGATCATCCTATAGTCGGTTCAGGATATTTGGATTATCCCTTGGCCAATATAACATATCTTCCCTCGGGACCTACGGCCCTCGGGCAGATATATTATATTGGCCTCGGGATAATCCCAATATCCTGAACCTCATATAGGATAATCTCTATATATTGTAAACAGTACTGAGTTATTTGACTTTTATATGACATTCAAGAATAAATAAAAGACATAACCGAAACTGAAACTACAACATAAACAATGCAGCTCACAACTTGTAAACATTAATTATAAGCTATGAGTGATATTAACCATAAATCGACTATGAAGTAATAGAGTTTTGTGAAAATTTTGAATCTAAGTACATTGTACATCCAAAGGAACATTCTCAAGGCAGATACTCTCATAAACATTTTGTCCCTGTAAACACTTATTGTACCATATTGTATTGAATTGTACTATATTGTATTGTATTGTACATCCAAAGGAACATTCTCAAGGCAGATACTCTCATAAACACTTTGTCCCTGTAAACACTTATTGTACCATATCGTACTGCATTGTAATATATTGAATTGTATTGAATTGTACTATATTGTATTGTATTGTACATCCAAAGGAACATTCTCAAGGCAGATACTCTCATAAACATTTTGTCCCTGTAAACACTTATTGTACCATATCGTACTGCATTGTAATATATTGAATTGTATTGAATTGTACTATATTGTATTGTATTGTACATCCAAAGGAACATTCTCAAGGCAGATACTCTCATAAACATTTTGTCCCTGTAAACACTTATTGTACCATATTGTACTGCATTGTAATATATTGAATTGTACTATATTGTATTGTATTGCATTGTACTGTATTGTACTATATCGTATTGTATTGTAATGCATTGTACTGTATTATATTGTATTGCACTTACCCTCCACATTGACAGAAGAGGTTTACTCCATTGAGAATGACATTGGGGACCTGGGCTGCTATACCAACATAACTGAGGAAGTTGGCTGCATATTCTGTCCCCTGACTCGCTGTAGTGTTCAGTTTGTAGTCAACAAAGTACTGGAATAGCAAGAGAATGTAATGGTAAGACTTCGAATATCAAGCTTTACATCAAAAATAAAAATATTTGTGTTTTGAAAGAAAATTTTATTCCTTGAATACAACTTTTCAAAAATCTAATATTCAATTCCATGTCTCATTCTCTACCAGCTAAAATCCCTTAACTCCAATCCCATATTATAAATTCTGCAATAAATATTCAAGATTTAAGGATATATTTGCAATATTTACAACTAATGAGTATTTTTGTGTTATTGAGGGTACTTACAATATGGTAACCAAGGTGACAATGAAACCAACAATATAGTAACCAAGGTGACAATGAAACCAACAATATTGTAACCAAGGTGACAATGAAACCAAATCAGATAATGATAATGATGTGTGATGGTACTTACAGACTGAGCAGTGATGAACATGTTCCAAGGCATCAGAGTACCAATACCATGAAGCAGTAGAATGAAATAGACCAATTTGAATCTGAAAATAATTTTACACATCAGAATGTTAGAATAAAATATGGAATAATTTGACACAATATTGTGTGTAGTATTATGATATTCAGTTTTGGCTAGCGCTTTGACATTTTGAGTCAAACATTTTATAATATTAAAAACTCAATAATCAAGTTGTGATATTGTATTTAAAATTAATATAATATGTGTTTGAAATGTGAGTATCCCCATTACACTTCAGCATTTGAGTTACTCATACATGTATATGATATATACACAAGAATTGTCATTTAAGAAATGAAAAATATGAAATGAATTTCTTTTTTCAATTTCCTGCGTTCAAGGAGAAATATTCGCGGGAATATCAAATGGCAAGTTTGGGGCCAGATATGATCAAAATGAAATCAATAATTTAATAACGAGGCCCTACAATAGCTCCAATGGTTTAGGTATGGATAATGAAATGACTATGAGGAAAATGAAATGAATGGTCATCAAAGTTAATATCAATATTTGAGCTTAGCGATTCTGGGCTTTTCCTGTTTTTTTTAAATCAAATTCAAATCTGAAAATCATATGCATGATGTAATCGACTGACTTGTCATAGGGAGCTTCTCCATCACTGCTAGAATCCTCAGAGCTGCTTATATTTTTGAAATTCAACTCATCTTCGGGGAGCTTCTTGTCCTCCCAACCTGGACCAAGTTGTACTGGTAGGAGACCATCCTTTTCCTGTGGAGACCCATACTCAGCTACAAGAACAGGATGAGGAGGAATTTTAAAATTATTTCTGTATAACAGAGGCTAACGTATGCCATTTCTACACGTCTTTCAGTAGGATCATTTTCCATAGGGATGAAAAACTTACTTGACAAGATTTGACACGAACTCAAAAGATTTTTACATCCGTAGGCATATTGGTTACACAAAGTTTATACATACTGCAAGATAAAAAGTACACCGTGCATTAATTTGGTAGAATACAAGGTTTAAAATTCACAGTTCATCCACAACGATTCATATCAAACAACAAAACAACACAATGAAAAAGACATATTTCATCTTAATTGCTGAAATAACTCATCCCTACCACAAATAGCCATAAATCAGCAGGAAGTTGCTTTCAAGTGAAGCTTTCCCATGTTAAAAATATATACCTGGTCATGCTCGTTGCATTTCCCTATATTTTGAACTTAAGTTCAGATTTTAAATATTTCTCTAAAATGTAAAATATGGGATTTAATCTAGTACAGGTATATTTATCCATTGCTATTGCCACTAATTACAACTCGATTTTGCTCATAAAATGACCCAGTGGCATTTTATTACTACAGCCTATTAACGAGGTATATGTAAAGGTAAACCAGGTAAGACATTTACACTACATTGCGGTATACAAGGTGCGGTAATCAGTTGTTTTTCAATGAGTGTAAAAGTATTCACAAACAGGAACAACAGTTTATTTATGCCAAGTTTCTAATCAAATATCAATTAACTTCAATTAAAGCTGAAATGATTGATTCATTTGTAAAACTGAACAATAAGAAAAACATCTGCTATGTTCTAACATGTAATGCAATCAAATATTATATATTTAAAAGTGTCAGTCTTACACACAGCATCCAGTAAGCTAACCAATTAGAAAATATACCAGTAAATTAACCAAGTACTGTCTAATTTGAGTCATTTCTTGATGCTGTTCAGAACATTGTATTATTAATATGTACTCATGAATTAAGCCATACAATACCGATTTCAGGATGTAGATATCAATACAAATGTCCTGAGCACAATGAGAAATTGATTGCAATCAAGTGACAAATTATTCAGGGATAAGTTAATAAATAGACCTAGCTCCATATCTTGGGTAGTTGGTTTAATTCCAATTGATTGAGATACAACTGGCCTTTTATATATTCTAAGTTCATTATTAGAAGGAGGCTCTGGGGGTTGGGTCATGATAAAAAACTCAAATTATAATATTTTGATACGACCCCTAAATGATGTGAGAAAACATCTGTTGAACTCTTTAAAACTCATTAGTCAGTTATGGTACAACAATACACACTTTACATTCGCTTTCATCTTAAACATAAAAACCTTTTACATTGAACACGATGACGATGACGAGCCTAACATATTCACATATCAATGTGTTCTCATTGCAAGCTCCAAAGCCTTCTCTATTTTGAGAGGACAAAGCCTTCTCTATTTTCAGAGGACAAAGCCTTCTCTATTTTCAGAGGAAAGAGGGACTCTGAAAATCAGAACAAAGACTGAAGACTTCTTAACATTTGAGTTGGAGAATTTAAAATCATCACAAATCACTATCAACTGAGATGTTTGTCCATTGGACAACTGAGGTGTTCCCATGTTCCAAGTTTTGCTGTATATGTAAAGACCAAAATAAAGCAGTTTCCTAGACAGGTGAACCTTCCATGCACCTGGTACCTGAAATGAGTTTGTACTAACTAGTGAAATGATAAACAAAAATGAAACCAGAAGTGGTGTAAGAAGATCCAAGATTTCATTACATTTAATCTGCAATATTTATACTGGGTATATGCAATTATTTTTGCTAGAGCATTTTATCTTACCCAAGTTACCCTACAATTTTGTGACATTGATTTTACATTTCTCAAGCATTCTATCTGTTACAGAATAACTTATGATTTTTCCTTGTAGTTACTGTCTATTTTAGCACATTAACTTCATTAGAATTTGCAGCTACAAAGTGTAAATAAATTAGGATTATATATTACAGGATTATAAATAAGTCAGCTAACACTTTGTGTAGATGTCTTCAATCATTATTGGTTATCTTTTAGCAGATGGATTCATCAGTGAAACCAAATTAGGCTTAACATTTCAAAGTCGCCTGATAGCAATATTCTTATTTCTACAAACAGTCAATATGGTACAACGAAAATGGGACTTCTGCGCGTGTTAAAATTTTTCGTCAAAACTCAACTTTTGTTCAAGTTGATACGATTGTCTTTCGAACTAGAGACTTACCTCATTCGAAAGATCATAAAAGACTTTATCTATACTGAAAATCTTAGATCCAAACATAGTAGAATACGCCGTCAGTCCGCATTTGATTTTTTGAAGTGAGTTTCGTAGATCGTCAGATTTCTCTGACTGATATCGGGTTATCTCAAACTGGTTCGTTTATAAATACGAATTTGTTTACCGTTGTAAGGCGCATGCGCAAAATTGATTTATAAACCTTATTGGTTGATGGTTTTTCTCCTGCGCATGCGTGAAGTCTGATGAACACTTATGACGAAGACCGGAGCAAACATTACTAGCTCTTGAACGAAATTCCAGGATTCAGGTCATTTCGCCGTGTTTGCTAAGCGTGTATACGTGAATGACAAGCTGTTTTGAGTAGATCGGGTACCTGTTTTAGACACAACATTGATTTAGCTTGATATTGATGTGCACATTGGAACTTTTGAGCATGTTAATACAAGTTTTTACACTCTTAGCACGAGACGGGTTTTCGAAAAATCTGTTATCTGATTCACTCGATTATCGTATGGATATGTATTTCTGCTGACATTTCAACACCACATCACATAGAATTACGATGCAGAATGATAATAAAACACAAAACATCTACTAAATTCCACTTGTTATTTCACAGGAGGTAAAAATGCAAACTGCCTAGATTCTTTGTAAGGGTCGTCAGACATCGGATTGGCCGCCATATTTGAAATGAAAATATCACTAAATAAAGGTCTGCGCATGCCTCAACATTTCGACTGCAAAGAAATTATTAGCACTGCTCCCGATCCCATGTTATTCCCTTAAATAGATGTTTAGACCCTTAACAGGTGAATGAATTACCGGTATGAACCGGTAGTTTTAGACTACGGAGATGGTCACCTCTATACAGAGACTTTATTTGAAATAAATTGATCTGAATTATTTGTAAGGGCCATGATAAAGCACATCTCCATATTCAATGAATTAATCCTCCTGATCAAATGAATAACACATAGTCAAGATTTCTAATTAACCTTACTAGTTCAGAATAGACTTACCAGTTAACCTTATTTATCCAAACACAAACAGAGTTCTTGCTTTTCTGAATAGCTCTAGAACTGGTCAAATAAGACAACCATCATGGTTAACACAGAAATGAAATCGATATACTAAAGGCCTCTCACCCTCTGTGTACATGTATACTTACATCTCTGGCAATTTGGTCACTTTATGAAATTTTGTCGAGATGACCAATATTTATTAAAATAAGATGAGGTTGCGAACATAACAATGCTAAAACAAGATCACTGGGGGGTATCGTGATGCAACAACACCGTGTTGTTGCATCAAGATGGCCAGACTTCCGGTGATAGATTTTCGTACGATGTTTTGTTTTCCCAATTTACACCCATTTCTAGGACGAGTTGCTCAATAATCATACACATGCAGTTAGCACATGATCTATATTTTTAAAAACTGTCATTGGTATACATGTAGCATCATCAAGAAGCGATAAATTCGTGGTTTTAATTCCTCACTATTGATGCAACAACACCACTCTGTTTCTTATCGATGATGCAACAACACCAATGTGCTGATGCAAAAACGCCAATATAATGTATCATTGAACAACAAGAGAAACTGTTTTATGTTCTGTTTACAGGTGTAGGTCGGGACATGAATAAAACGCGTGAGTCAGTGGACCATGAACGAAACGTATTTTGTTTGGTTTCTTTGTCTATATCAAAGTTAAAAGGATATACAAGGCAAACTAAATAAAGTACAGAATCCCCGGGAGGCAATCTCATTGATATTGTATCTGAAAAATAAAGATTATACATTTTCTAGATTAAATGCCCTTAATTTACCGTATGGAAATTGCTTACAAATAACTAATATAATTTTGGAAAGACAACAGATATCAGTCATTTTGTGTTGTTAGTACCTCAATTGAAATACTCAATTCTGATTGGTTGATGAGCGGGCAACAAAATGTATTGTTAGTACCTCAACTGAAATACTCGATTCTGATTGGGTGATTAGCGGTCAAAATTATGTATTATTATATACCCAATATGTAACACTAATCCTGATTGGTCAATACCTAGTCACGTGTTCCGAAATAGATTTACTATTTCCCTCGGAAAGTTATATTCCCTCAATTGTGACGTCAGCGGGAATATACATTTGAACTATTGCCCGCTGACGTCACAATTGCAAGTTCTATTACCCTTGGAAACGTCTGCGCATCATCACTGTGCAGACGAAAAACAGAAAAATGGAGGATGAGCACAAACACAAATCAACTTCGTTCACCATGACAGACGTGCGTGAACGATACAATATAAGTAACGTGTATAAAGTTCCCTAAGCTCAATACGTCTGTGTAATTTCAAGTGTTATGATAATCTATTCCGCGTGTTAAACGCGATTGAATTTGTCAAGTGAGAGTCTCAGAGGCAGAAATTTCTGTTGAGCATCTGATGACGTCACAGCTTATAATGCTAACAATGGACCCGGGGAGGGGGCTTTCTAAGCCGTTTTGGCCTACTATGGGAATAGTACATTGTAGAGGATATTCCCTTTGGGAAATAATTTACACTATTGCCCTCAATGGCAGTCACTATTTGTATACTGTTGACCGCTACTAGGTACTGTTGACCGCTACTTCTGAAAAAAGTTTCATGACGTCACAAAAAAACATGGAAGACGGACATTTTGTAAATGTTGATGAAAATGACTTTACTAGGCGACAAGTATAGCAAAGATACAAATAGAAACTTAAAATTAACATTAATTCACTAACGAGTACGCCGTGATGTGCCAAATACAGAGTTAAGCTTCTTGCAATGTCTCCATATTTTCTAAAAAAAAATATTGCTAACGTGGTTCGGAGAAAAGGTTGTGAAATGAAGCCATGCCGATTGATGATCGTCGTCTATATGTGTATTATTAGTTTACTCGGACTAACAAAACAATTGTAGACCTCTCCATTCGATCAACCGTCAAAATCATATACCTCGACTGTAAACCTTGAAACTACTGTTGACCTCCACCTTCGGTCTCTGTCAACAGTATTTTTCGGTTTACAGTCTCGGTATACAATTTTGCCGGTTGGTCTCTGGGGAGGTCAACAATTGTAAACTGTTGACCACTACTAGGTACTGTTGACCCCTATTTTTGAAAAATTGTTTTTTTAATGTTGAATTTTTTTTAATTTTGAAAAAATAAGTTGTATAAAAAATTACAAGTATTCGACGGTTTGGGGATTTTTTGCTAAAATATGATACCTTTACTTATCAAATATGAACGTGATATTCGATTATATATTCGTCCAATTATTATATTATTTGGACTAACAGAACAATTGTTAACCTCTCTTTTCGGTCAACTGGCAAAAGTGTCCTCGACCTCTGGTCTTGATCAACAGTACTTTCAAGGTTTACAGTATCGGTATACAATTTTGCCAGTTGACCTCAAGAGGGGTCTACAATTGTATATTGTATATCCTTTGTTATCCCACCCAAAGTATGATGTCATATATCAAGTTGAAGAGTTGTATACGCTGCTCAGGAGTTTACGCTATCCAGGAGTTGTACATCGTTCTCAAGAGTTGTATAGGATGAGTGTTGGTTTAATGATATTGCAGTTATACAATGCTATTATATAAAAGTTATTTACTGAGAGGGATTCAATATTGGTTTTATTTCGAGAGACAATATGATATTTCCCGAGGGCCCGGGATATCTGGGATAACTGTACCCCTATCAATTTACCTTTTTGGGCCCTAAATCTTATCACTTTTGTTTACCTTTTTATCAGTCGGAGAGAAGGAATCCAAAGAGAGCAATAATTCTACATGTGCGTCGTGTAACTAAACGGCCTCTCTAATAAAGTCAATTAGACGTTTTTACACGTTGGCTCTCCAAATTGTAGGAAATAAAGAATCATGTCATATTATATCATAGATGAAGCAATCATCCCATCAACATAAGCTCACGAATGTCACAGTTAAACTGTTTTAGTTATAATTTGATAAACAGTGGTAACGTACATCTACTAGTTTATCACTGTTCCACAGATGGATGACAGATAATATCATGATAATATCATGATAATATCCAATAGCTCATCATGTTTACCGAGAACGAAAGATGTTTGTCACCATTTTGAATGATACTAACTGGAGTCAGGGTCATCAAGCTATGGAACAGTGGTTTATGAAAATAGATTGGGTTACTAAAGCTTGCCATGTTAAAGGCGATTGAACTATGTTATAGAATAACGTCCAGTACATTATAATATGTAAACGTATAAATTTTTGAAAACACAAGGATCTTCGCCCGCAGGACGTGTATTTTGAATGCCTTGAGAAGAACGCAAATATTGGTAGGCTAATTGGTAACGGTATTGCAATAGTAGCATTTAAAAATCTGTTCCTCTCGAGATTTATGGTCTTCTGAAATTATACTATTAATTGGTGTTGCTGCATCATTGCTCAAATCTAGAGGGGTGTTGTTGCATCTTCGGTTTGGTGTTGTTGCATCAATAGTGAGGAACTAAAACCGTGAACTTATTGCTTCTTGGTGATGGTACATGTATACTAATGATAGTTTCTTTAAATATAGATCGTGCGCTAACTGCACGTGTATGGTTATTGAGCAACTCGTCCTAGAAATGGGTTTAATTGGGGAAACAAAATATCGTACGAAAATCTATCACCGGAAGTCTGGCCATCTTGATGCAACAACACGGTGTTGTTGCATCACGATACTCCCCAGTGAAGATATTAAAATGACAAAATGTCACCATCTGGAAAGTACTTACAAATGGCTACAAAAAATGGTTACAATTTATTACAAAATACAAACCTATGCTGAAAAATACGGCTATAACAATATGTTACCACTTTTTGAGTTGAAAATTCATAGAATGAAGACACAATGTAGAAATTCTTCATTGAATAATTGTCAAAATAGTGAAAATAGGTTTAACTGCAATATAATACCTTAGATACGAAACTAATTAGTTCTCAATTTCTCAACTTCAAAGACTTCTTTTATTTAATATAGGAAAAGCTTATGATAAATGAGGAAATAACAAAAAATCAATGATTACTTATATCTTATAAGATGTCAAAGTACCCCAATTTCTATATATCTTCAAACGAAGCTTGAAAAATTCTACTAACTGAGAAAACATAGTAAGATGAGAAAATCTATAATTTAAATGGATGAGATATTAATCCAATCCAAGTTAAGTTCAGATACAGAAACAGATCATTAGTTTTGTATAACATTTTTCTATGTATCCATTTCAGGAATAAATCAACACTCAGTAAATTAATTAATGAGTAATACCAATATAGTACGTTATCAGATCAATATCATAGCACATGGGATTAGAATATTTTTGTTCAAATGACATGGAGTCTTTACTTGCCTAATTTCCAGTATATTTCCAGTATATTGGTGGTCATATTTATGCCTCTTTCAAATATTCTGACAAAGAAAGCTAATTTCTCTCAAAATAGGTTCTCTGGCATCTTTGGAAACAAAACCCCCTTTTGCCAGAAATATCTCAATTTCACACAAACTATTCATTCATGTTTTCTTAATGTTGAGCCCGATCCCCCTGTTTAATATGAAAGATTCCTAGATTCACCAGTGTTAGGATATATTTGATATGTTTCTTCTAAAATCACCAAGGCATTCACCTGGCAACATGCCCACACTTAACATAAAAGAGTTAATCATGATACAAATGAAACATGTCAATGTTAGAATGGATTACACACTAGGGACATCAACAAATCTGTATCAATTCAAGCTGAATTTACCAAGAATATACTTTATCATCTTCAATTTATGTTTTTAGAGAAACTGTCTTCAGGTGTTTCAGGTACACTTATCGCAAAATATGATTTTTATTGTTTTAATTTAGGTGAAATGTTCACACAATAATCCCACTAAATATAAGAAACATGTATACTTGAAATTCCTCCTTTGTGATGTTCCTTAAATTTCCTTCATTAAATTGAACCTCAGATGCTATAAAGTTGCGATATAAATTGTGGATGTATTAAGTGAATCTGCTTGGGTTTCCTAATTGATAACAATTTACATCATAACGAGTAGGTTTGCGAGATTAATTGAGAAATTATCTGTGACTCTGCGTCACAATCTGTTTTTATTCTCATAAAATGCGTCACTAGAAAATACTGTAAATAGAAAAAGTGACATCTTCATTTATAAACCATGGAAAAGGAAATTGATATTTCTCGATATTTTCAGATTATGTTACAAGTTATCAAAATACATGGAGCAAAATATTTGGCTCATGGATATAATATTCCAACAAACTTTCTAGGCTTTTCATCTAATGAAATCTTTTTCTTTGAACTTGAACTAATCTTTACGGATATGAAATAATAATACAATTTCCTGTGATCGACAACTCAATCTTATTGAATCAAAAAACAAAGTGTTTCATTTATCAGCATGTCGTCGAAACTTCATATGGAATTAGTTGATCATTACATCATCAATTTGTTTTATTGTATGTTTAGGTTAAAGGATCTAAATCTTTTTAGATTCACACCTGACAATGTACAATGTGTGTGTAAAGACATGCCTTGTATTTCATGCTCTTGTTCGATTTCAAAGATGGTTTTGAAGTTAGAGCAACTGAAATCTTGTGAACAAGATGCTTCATGTCAAAAACTATACTTTGCTGTTTTTTATTCTGTTCCAAAGCCTAAATGATAAAATCAAGTCATGGGAAGATATCTTACCATTGTGTGTTTTAGCTGGGGTAGAATTGGCAAGTGGGGTATATTCTGGTGCTTGGTCTCCATTCAACAAACCTTGTTTGTCTGGTGTAATATTTGGGTTTACATCACCGTTGACGTTCTGCTCGTAGAAGCCGTTACTCATCTTTGTGAATTCTGAAAAAAACAGTTAATTTTGTTGTAGAGAATGTCATTGAAATGTTTTTATTTTATGTTATGTTTTCTGAGAAACGCCAAGAGACTGATTTGTCTTCCTATATTGAATCAGCTTTCAGCCTCTTATCTTCAAATATTTTATAATGAACCAGAACAATGTTCTACAAACATCTTGACATATGAACTACCAAACCATGCAATACAATAGTACTGTTCTCCACAAGATTTTTTCTCAAGAAGGTGCATAATTCTTATATTCATATTTCAGACCAAATTTGGTCAAATTATGCAAAATTCTCATAATTTTTCTAATTTTCAATGGCTGCAAATGGATTTTCAGGTGTATGCAAGCCAAAAGCTCAGGTGTGTGTTGCGCCCACTTCCTTTAATGCTGGGGAGATCATTAATAATATACTGACCAGAAATCATATCTAAAAACTCAAAACCTTGTCAAAATCATGAAATAAACCACAACTAAGGCATATAAATTCAAAATTACTGTCATGATTGAATTTATCTATTTGAGTTGGTTTTTTTTGGTATAAGACGCTATTTTAAGAGAATCCAAAGTAGCACTTGATTTCTTAGGTTGTTACATCCTGATCAGACACAAGTTTAGTGAAGTATCTAAATAAACAGACAGGATTCATATAAGTACCCCCACTTGGTTTTCTATATAGACTTCCTTCTCATTTTTAAATTCACAGAATAATAAAACAAATAACAATACGTCAGCACTTTTTGGTGTTGACATAAAAATCATTTTCAGTTTGTTTTTGATAGCCTTTTGGTTTCATATACAGTCGTACATTGCCAGAGGGTCACATTCTAGTATATGCAGACGAAGCTCTCTTTTAAAGAAAAATTAATTATTAATTTGGTAACAACAAAAATATCCCATGTAGAATGAAATATTTAACAGACATCTCATGAGATCATAATCAAATTGATACAAAGAGCATTTACTACTCATATGTCATCAACTAAAAGTATAGCTTTCCATTTGAGACTGAGATTTATCTCATTTGATAGATCCCCCAAGAAATATTCATATCACCTGATATAATGCAATTGTATAGAATGAAGTCTGGGATTTTAAATATATAATTCTCATATGTTGACCTTTTGTGACCTTTTGTATGACCTCAAACTTTAAAACATAAAATTGATCTACTTGACTATTGTCTAGCATACTGGCATACTGCTCTCTATAGTTTCCTTTATTTGAAAAGACAATTCAGACTGTCATGACAAGTTTAAAGGCCATAAATAATATTTTATAAAATAGTCAGACAAAACAAAACAAATGGACAGATAGATCACCATGTAGATCAGTTAGTCGTTAGTAGTTCCCTTTGCTTATTTTTATAAGGAATTCTTATCAAATAGAACAAATAGAAAAAACCAAGATGCTGTGGCAAGTCTAACCACCACGCTTTAAAATAATAAAAATGCCATTTATTTGTTTTTGAGGCTAAAAGTTAACAAACACTTGTGAATACCAAATTAAGAAGTTCAAAATAATTTTTAGTTCCTTCATGAATTACCAAGCCATAGTGATAACCAATTCATTAATGATGATTATATAAATCACATTTTTGAATTCTTTTCAATGGAATATTAGAAGAAACTGACTATCATTTGGGTTATTTAATGGGCTTTAAAGACTATCAGTCTACATTGTGTCATTGTAATTCCTCTGTGCCAAATTTATCAGCCATACATAATTAGACTTGGCACCTTGAATTCTAAACACTTGTTGCCTTGTCTTCTTTGCACATTTACCAAAACTCATCTTCCAATGAGCCTTTCATTATAAAAACTTAATTCCATGGAATCATAGATGACATTTTCCATTCCCAATCTCCCTAAGTTATATTTAATTTGTTATTTGTGACTAAGGTGTCCTCTAAATCTCGAAAGATCATTTTTTACTATGATACACTGACTTTGAAATGTCTTTCTGACTTTGTGAAAATCACGAAATTGCAATAAACCTATTTCTTTTACTGGAATGCCATGGAGGTGCCATTAAGTATCTACTAAAATTCTATTGAATTTAGAGGGCATAATAAATTGTTAAATGAAGGTCGCTAGTAACAATGCCATATTTGTAAGACTGAGTTGGCTAAATGGCGTCATCTCCAACGTCATCCTTGGTCCAAGGGTATTTCAATTTATGCAATGAGCTGGTACAGTGACGTCTAATCTTGATGGCTTAAAATGTGAGATGGAGACTGTTAAAAACTCTCAAAATCTATATCTAATGTAACATATTTCATAATTCCAAAAAGCTGATCGTACATATACAGTATGTACTTATATATCCCTATTATAGCCAATGATGATTCGTATGAATATTGAGACTAATTATAGTCCAACTGACAGATAATCAACAGCTCTTATGATTAACTTCATTTCATATCCATGGCAACATGCCGCAACAATTGATTTTGATAATGATATATAGATAGAAATAAACATCTTACCTCACTTGGTCCCTCATACCTAGTAGAATCTCGATAGAAAATGAGTTCTGCCAAGCGAATATATAAATTGAACTGTGTATCCGGGATCTAGTTGCATTTTATATAGACAAATGTTGGGCTAATATTAATAACAAGACACTTGTTCATATACAAGTTCTTCATTTTTATATCAAAACAAGAATTTCTGTAACCTCTTTACAATGAGTTATGGGCCTATCTAAGATCAATACTTCAAATGAATTTCAGAAAAAAATGTTTTCTTTTTTTGCAGTATGTATTCTGTAACCATTTTTGGTACTTTCCTAATGCTACTTGCCCATACTTTTCATTCTATGTTTTCATTTCACCATATTCACTAGAACTACATAATTCACTAAGAAGTACATATATATATGGTCCAAATTAAGTTGAATGTAACTACATGTACTATTCGTTATAATACATTCAATGCACGACTGAACAGATATAAGATTAATCAGAATATAAAAGATTATGAGACTTTCTTCAACCATAAACCCCGCATCTTCACCCCTTGGGCCTCACTGCATTTGATATAGAATCTGAGCAGGCAAAGACTTGCATCCCAAGCATTAATCTTACTTTCCATTCTCTCATTAGCTGCCTTTCAGTATTATCAACCGTGGAGACGTTTTTGTCTCTTCCATGCAAATGGGTAATTTGATAAATTGTTCAGACAGATCAACTCTGTTGTCATCAGTAAGAAAACCAAACTGGTGTAAATAATTAAAGACCTGCTCTTTTTATGGACCTTTTTAGATTACCTTTCTACGTACGTACATGTACTTTCTCCGAGAATTTTTCTGATTGGGTTAAAAATCCTTGATCACATATTTCCAAAAAATACCTCCACAAAACATGAAAAATTTGTTAGCTAAATATTCTCATATTTCATTTTTATCTCTCTTATTAGTTTAAGGAAAAGCTAAGAAATTGACAATGAAAGACACAGCAATAAGTGATGGAGATGGCAATTACAGCTGCCTACTGAAAACAAGTTCATGGGGAGAGTAAGCATATAAATAATGCATACTGTAAAAGCATTCCCTTCCTCAGGGACAAGACTGTTTACAGTCATGTTAATGCCACTACAGTGAAACATGTACAGGGTGTTCCAAAAGTAACAGGACTGGTACTGGTGTAAAAGGGTGGGTGGTCCTATCAAATTTTGGTCCTACTCTCTATTGATTTATATGGTGACCTAATTACAATTATTTTCCTTATTATTTATATACAGTCAGGGCCAGTAAGAGAAAAAATCCGAGGGACCATAATTTCTTTCACACTGGTATTTTATTAATTCTGAACCAAATGTCTTCAAATTTTTACAAAATGTACTTTGAGCATCTGAACATCTAATCTGAATGCCTCTCAATCTGAATACTTTTTTGAGACCCAATTTTTTTTATCTGCCATTGACTCACATATTTATAAAACCTTGATGAAAATTATCAAATTATTTCAAAAGGTTAAATCTAATGTTCATATCTTCTGACCTGATAAATAACCTCAATGAGCTTAATGAAAGTATGTCACACTGGTTTGTTATTTTATCTCTACTTTGACATCTTTCCAAATATGAAATGACAGAACTCTGTGTTCTCAATAGGATTTCCTCAAGAAGGTGTGGTCAATTTGAACAGTTTTGCAAAAATCTGGTAGAAAAGCTAATTTTTCATGATTTTCAAGTGAATGTAAACCTGCACTCACACCCACTTGCTATACTGCTATTTATTAAGAGTTAGGCAAATACTAGAATTATGTTGTTGAGCAAACATTAACAAATGAACACAAGCTATATTCCAGTGCTACTTTAAATGAACAACCCCATTGAACAAAATGATTTGGAAGAACTCCTATTTTAAAACTAGACAACAGCGACGCCAAAGCGTAGCAAATCCCAAAAATGGCCACCTTCTACCAAAAGTTTCATAAGACAGTGTGCCATGCTTTTAGTATTCACATACCAAATATGAACAAAATCGCTCCGCTACTTTTCGAGTTATAGTAAAATATGTTAAAATGTCCGCCTTCAACCAAAAGTGTCCTTAGACAGTGTGCCATGCTTATAGTATTCACATACAAAATATGAACAAAATCACTCCACTACTTTTCAATTATAGCGAAAATCGTAAAATAGCGAGTAAAGGCAGTCATTTTTCAAGATGGCTGCCATGCGCTTCTTTAAGATCTACACTTCTAGCTTTATTAATGTCCTATATCATTTTTTTACATTTAAAACATATTGCTAATAGAGTTTTACATATTGTACCTAAATTACTGTAAAATCGGCACTAAAATGGCCGCCATTTTGAAAATCAGCTTTCGAGCAGAACTTCTACCCATATAGGGTATATGTTTACAAAATATGAACAAAATCGGGCCAACGGTATTTGAGTTATTGCCCGAACAGACAGACAGAAGAATGTACAGACGGACGGAGGCGTTCCCTATATCCCTACGAACTTCATTCGATGGGATAATAATTGATAA